CCCAGCCATACTAGATCAGCACAGCCCAGATCAGCCGAGCACAGCCTAGCCCAACCCAGCTCTACCCAAACCAACCAAGCCCAGCCAAGGGCGGATCCAGAACACAATTTTTGGGGGGGCCAAAAAAAACGTTGGTCCCTAAAAAGTGTGTCCAACAAAATTACGGCGTGGGGTTTTGGGGCCCGCTTCTGGGCCCCGAATTTTTTTGGATTCTAGATGCTCTGTGGTGCGATCTGAGGCAATTTCTGACCACTTTAACTAATAATTTTTAGGAAAACATGGTAGGGTACTCATTGCCTGCCTTTATTGCGAAGTCACTGAAAAAAAAAGAAAATTGGATTCGGGGTTTTTTTTTTGGGGGGGGGGGGTGGGTGGCATGGCCCTCTTTGCCCGCCCCCCCTCTCCCTTGGATCCGCCATCGAGCCCAGCCCAACCCACTGCCAATCCAAATCCAACCTAACCAAACCCAGCCACATCCAACCAAGCCAAAGACCAGCACAGCCCAGCAACAAGTCCAGCCCAACCCAACGCAAGACTCAATCCAATCATTACTAACCTGCTCTGACCAATCAAGCTGAAACTACAGGCTTTCATAAAACCAAAGAAGCCAGGTTAAGAAATTAAAAGGGATGGCCATACTTTAAACAATATTAAGGGAATAAAAGTGTGAGGAGCCCCCACACCCGGTCATTATCACGCAGTAAAGACCGGATCCTCACACTCTTATTCCCATTAATAAATACCTTTTTAACGAAATAAACAGTTAAAATGCTCCAATTTTGTGACTTTTTTTCCGGCGATATTTCCAGACTTTTTTGTGTTCATGTTCATGGGCCATATTTTAGCTAACACTATAACAGCTATAACGATGTAAACTCGACAGAAACTGCTGCCGTAGCGAAACAAATTACAACAATGTTTTCAAATCTTTACCTGATGGAGGAAGCTGAAATCTCGTTTACACATTCCTTGTGTCCGGAATTACAAAGATGCTTAGTTAAGGAAAGGTAAATATGTCGGTGGGTGAAGTGTTTCAAAGAAAATAAATCGTAGATCTACGCTTTCGTCGTAAACATCCTCAGTATATACTGCACTGCTGTACGATGTCGTTTCAAAACTTCCTTACGCGCGCGCACGCACGTATCCCTAGCAACTTGCGTACGCGCGCGTCAGTCTCACGCGATGGAGGTTGAGCGCATGTGCAGTGCTCTATTGTTACAAGTTACCGCAGGACTGTTACTATATTTTGACCAATCATTGGCTTGCATGGGGCTGAACGGGGCTTGATCAATGCTGGTTCAGGGGCCATTTATTCGCTTGATCTTTGAAGCCGGTCCATTATCACCGTTAATGCCTGGCCACGTGATCGAGTCTCGACCAATCAGAAACCATCAACTCTCCAAGGTATTTATTAATGTCTTTTCAATGTACTACTACATCTAATTATGTCCATGTACAAATCAACAAAAAAACAAAAATCAATGCGATCCCAATAATTACACTATATTCAAGAAAACAGTATTTTAGTCGACAATCGACAAATCTGCGAAACCACATGATTATTGGCTAAACATGAAGTAATTTTATTTTTTGATTAAAATCTTTTAAGTAAGGTAATAAGCTGACGAAATCGGTGCAACAAAAGCATTAACATTAATGAAGATTTTTTTTTCCAAATCGCAAAAGACACCATTTTGTTATTATTTAGAATCCCAACCTCCCCCTCCCCTACTTAAAAGTAATAAAGCGAAAATTCAAGTTGAGAAACAAAAGGTAATACCAGTTTTATTCTGTTAAGTTTCATAATCGTGAAGTTACTCACGTTGTTCAAAGAGCGCGTTTGGAAAAAACTTTTCAAATCATTAAAATACTTAGGGCTTTATGAAAGGTCTGCAAATAGACAAGAATAAGTATTTTAAACTTTCGCTATTTTTTAATGAAATGTATACGTTACATGTTTTGCTTGAATAGATGTTTTGACAATTTTATAAATTACATGGGGGAAGAAATTTGTAAATCAAATCATGATTTTCGTGTATGTCCTTGCGAAGTCTACCATTCATGCGTACATTGTACACGAACAGCTGTTACATGCTTCGACACTAATACTTAATAAGTACATAAAACTGAACATGAATTCAGTTCGTCCCAAATGTTAAGACGAGGAAATGATAAACAAGACAACTGGCAAGCCCCCTTTAGCTCGTCCCTTAAACTTGGTATAAGTATTCAAAGTAGTCATCTGAGTGATATTTGGGGGACGAAGTGAGGCTTTAACAAATCGTATTCACAGGTGCCAGTCCGTCAGTGAGTCAGTGAGATAGGTACAAAGAAGACTGTAGGTTGGCCCTCTGGGACCAGCACAAAGGTAATCTCATCGGTTCGATTACAAACAGAACCAATCTGACAGTCTGCAGTGCATAGTGGTTACTTTTTTGACACGCCCTGTATAATTGTATTGTGACTGTATAAATTCAGGATGTTTTTCTTTTTTACATTTCCGATATTAATCACAGGAACTTTTTTTTTTTTTTTAACAAAGATCCGATAGTGGCGCAGCATAGCCATAATATGCTAAAGGATTGTGCAAATTGTGATAAAAGCATGAAACTTCGCACGTTGGTTCTTCATGCCATGAAGACAATTTTCAGATATACAGGCATTTCATATTTGACCTCTGGTGATCTTTGAGAGGTCAATGAACTTTACACTCTATTCATAACGTTTGTTCTTCAAAACTTCACTTTCCTATGACCTAAGTCTATGTCATAAGCCTGCAACATATACATCACATAACGGGAGATTGCTTGCAGTATTAATCCAGATCCAGAAGTCTTCATACAATGAAAATAATGATCAGATGTGGGAACATTTCATATCTGACCTCTGGTGACCTTTGAGAGGTAAATGACCTTTGTAAACCTGTTTATAGATATTTGTAAGATTTATTCTTAAAACCCCAACTTTTTCACGATTCAAGTCTAAATGAAAGACATTCATGCTATAAAGGGAATTTTCATATATAGGGTATTTTATATTTAACCACAGGTGACCTTACGAGAGGTCATGACCTTTGTAAAACCAAAGCCTACCTATGGATATTAACACGATTTACACAATTGTATGACCCAAGTCCAACATTTGTGCCATGAAAAGAATGTTCAGATGCGGGGACATCATATTTGAGGTAGTGATACCCTCGAAGAGGTCAATGAACTTTGTATTTCCTTGTTGCCGTTATTTATCATATTTATTCGTCAAAACGCCATTTCTCGGTGACCCGAGCCTTAATTGTGCCAAAGAACGGTATTGCACCTATAAGTTTAATGTCATGTTATGAATTCAGACCACACAAACAATTTTGAGGTGACCTCTGACCTCGTTTCTCCTTGTTTTATTGGCAGACGCAACATGATGAGATTGCAATAGACATTTTGTGGGTCCGCCTGTAATGAAAAAATGTACATGCTTCAAGCAATATTCCATCTTGTGTATTTATTACACCCTGCGTTATCAAGATGGACTGTGATAACTACGTGTTTAACCTTTTTACAAAGCCAAATGGTCACTATTAGAGAGTGATGCTTGTCCAATGTGCCGCTTATATGCTTTCGCGTCTGCGTCTGCCCTTATTAAAGGAAAATTTATATCACAGGTCATAGGTTGTATGATAATTCTTCAAATACACGCCTTTTGCTCTAATTAGACTTGGGTCATGAAAAAGTGGCATTTTGGAAGATTAAACATGATAAATAACGGCAATCAGAGTATACATGCATGCAAAGTTTGTTGGCCTCGCAAAGGGCATCAGAGTTCAAATATGAAATGTGTGGATATCTGAAAATTCATATCGCGGCAAGAATACCTACAATTTAGATATGGGTAATAAAAAAGTGGTGTTTTGAATAGTTACTCCTCTTAATATTATCCTTAAATAGGATACGCAATTAAAGTTCATTGACCCCTTGAAGGTCATCAGAGGTCAGATAGGAGATTCCCTACATATTAAAATATGGATTTTACTCACAAATTGAAGTATGTCACAAATTGAAGTATTTTATGTAAGGGATATTTGGTCCGAATTTCAGCCCAGGAAATTAATTCTGGTTCATATAGGAGCAGTTTGAAAGTAGATTTTCACACTCTAAAATGTTAGTACACGAGAACAAAGAAATGACTTCACAAGGATACAAATTCCAGGATTCAAGGGCTTGCATAAAAAGTCTATTGGTTTTCCCCCCTTTTTCACATTAATCATCGTTTTACCATGTTTCATAAATCACAGTGACCTTGGTCAATTTTTATGTTACGCCAAACATCAATCTAACTCCATTTTGATCACATATTTAACTGTGACCTTTCGGTCAGCTTGACTTGGGTCTTATGACGGAGAAAACCATATTTCACAAGGCATATGTGGGTCATTCAATAAATTTGGGGTCCATTTTTTCCTATCTCTAATTACGTCCAACACCCATGATAATAACATTCTAAAGTACTCCTTAGTTCAGTCGTTCTTCAAGAGTGATTACAAACTTACCTACCCAACAACATTACCTACCAAATAAAAAATTCATTGAAGTCAATCTAAATGACGCTTGATACAAAGTACCATGGTAACGGGGACAGGAAAACTGTCACACTTTTGACCCCAAATTTACAGCATGATCCCTGTACCAAAACTTCACATCCTATAAACTGTTACTGACCTAAATTTAAGGAAGTACAAAAGTGATCTTGGAACAAAAATCGTATAAGGTACAGTTCATCATTTGCAGCTATCTAAAAAGTAATTGACGTAATTATTGTTGAAAAGGATACTTGGTTTAGAGATAGAAGTGGGACTAAACTCCCTGTGAAATTATTCTTTCCGTGTCTCAGATGCTGAATTCAGGCCAAATTCAAAACATGGCTCAGCAACTTTTGATTTGACATCGAGATCCTAGAATATTGTATTCTTGGAATATACAGCATTCACTGAGCTGAAAATTCATCAGGTTAGTTGTTCAGCACCCTTCTTTAGATTTTGAGAACTTTTGTTGCTTCAAACAAACATAATGCACAAATGACAAATGACGGACGCTACCCTTCAGTTATCTGGACTGCTAAAAATGTATGCCAGATTTTCAAATAAAACACAAACGGAAATGTGTGAAATATTCAGGGACACGTGAGTTTCTAAACATGAAAGCCAAAATGTCTGGGTATATTTTAATGCTATCTGAGTATTAAGGCACTCTTTAAAAATACATTATTTCAGTCTCAAACCTGTTATGCTGTAAATTATCTACACACTGATGATCTTAGTGACTGTCTGTGACAAGCCGGCCGCGTTGATGGCCGTCAACGTCAAGTGGTAGTCAGTGATGGGAGCCAGCGGTGAGACACGCATACCAGTCTCCATGGTCTCCACCCACTGCATGATATCACTACCTCCTGGGATGGTACCCAGAGATACCTCATAGACCAAGGAGGAGGAAGGAGAGGCAGAGAACAAGCCTTCCCAGGTAAGATTAACCCTTCCATCTCCAAGCCAGGAATGACTGAGCAGGCTTAGCGCTATAAAGACACAATCATATACGAAACCTGTGAGATGGAGGAAACTCTCAAAACGTGGATTGCTGGATTAGTGTTCAGGTGATTTGTAGTGATTAAGTATGGATCTCTCGAGGGACACAACAGAAACAATGACCATTACATATCTGGTGATTATTTGAGAATATGCAATTAAAACTTTTTTGAGAAGAAGTTAACTAGCCATTGCAAGTCCCTAGTTAATCCCAAATTTGAGTTTTAGTGGGTGGATGGCATGCATAGTTTGTTTGGTTCCCCTCTTTTATGTGTATACAGGCTGGTTCTGAAAAAAGTGTAAAGCAGCATTTTCAAAATTTGGGAGACATGTTGAAATTGTTTTACGATATTTCAAAAGTAATAAGAATAATAATAATTACACATTAATACCGCGCAACATATCTGTTCAGAAACAGGACACCCAAGGCGCACATCAGGAAAAAAAAAACTTGGAGGAAAAAAGGTTCGAATCAATGAATGAAGTATTAATCAAATCACGAGAAGGTTTTGGTGTATAAGAAAGTCTTCAAATTTGACTTAAAACACTGTAGGGATGAAGATTCGTGGATGTCTCTTGGGAGAGTGTTCCAGACTCATGGTGCAGCTACTACGAGTGACCTGTCTCCCCACGACCGTCTCGATCTGATCTCCGACAACCTGTGGATGCTGCTGGAGCGAAGACCTGAACGGCGGGGAACATTAGTTTGAAAAAGCTCCGAGATGTACAGTGGAGATTGACCGGTAATTGCCTTAAAGGTTGTCATGGCAAGTTTGTATTGAAGTCGCTGTTTGATGGGGAGCCAGTGTAGTTGCTTGAGGATTGGTGTGATATGTGATGAAGACCGGGAACCGGAGATAAGACGTGCAGCTGTATTCTGCACCTTTTGCAGTCTCTTGATCTGTCGTTGAGGTAACCCAAATAATGTGGAATTGTACAAGTCTAGACGTGAGGATACTAGTGCATGAATGAGCAGCTTTGTTGCTTGTGGATTCAGGTACTCTCTGATTCTGCGAATGTTTCGCAGGTGGTAGACCGAAGACCTAACACAAGATGAAATTTGAGGTTCCATAGTCATGTTGGCGTCGAGTATCAGACCAAGATCACGAACTTTGTCGGCAGGGCGTATTTGGGAATCCCCGACTTTGATGTATGGGATGGTGACTTTCTTTCGGTACAAGATTTTGATGGTATATAGTGAAAACGGTGTTAAAATAAAGCCTTAACTAAGAAATTGCGGCCATTTACAAAAACCAGTTTGTTCAAACGTGTGTATGAGATATCGTCATTGTTATTTGTGCACGCAGAGCTTTTGTTTTGACTATGTCTCATAGACTTGCTTGTAGACAATTTTTCTGTAAATGGCTGCCACTTCTTAATTTAGACATTATTCTCAACGCCGTTTTCACCATCTACATTTACCACCAAGATCTTGTAGTTTAGAAATACCTTAAAACAATTTCAACATGTCTCCAAAAGTTTGAGTAATCTGCATCTGGAAAAGTGTTTTTTTTTTTTTAAGCACACTCTAGAATACATTTGACCATGATTATGGCAACCTCCATAAAAATGCATACAATACAAATAGACCTTTATGAGCTCTGGGTAAAATTGGAATACATCTTTCGGACATGATCGAGATATGTATACGAACCTCCACCAGCAGGCTTGGTAGACTCTATGGTGATGTTGCCAGTGATAGCTTGGCTGATCAGACCAGCATGATTGACGGCTCTGACTGACAGGCTATAGGTCGCATCATCGACCAGGGCAAGACCTGACCAATCAAGGTGGGTCTCTGATGTGGATCCACAAGGTGTCCAGTGGTTGTAGGCGTTGGGTCCACTCAGATGACACTGAGAGGAGGAAAAGGGTTCAATTAGGGATTAAACTGCAAATTAGGTGTCCAGGAGGTGATGGCGTTGGGTCCACTCAGATGGCACTGAGAGGAGGAAAAGGGCTCAATTAGGGATTAACCTACAAATAAGGTGTCCAGGAGGTGAAGGCGTTGGGTCCGATCTGATGGCACTGAGAGGGGAAAAAGGGTTCAATTAGGGATAACACTACAAACAAGGTGAAGGCGTTAGGTCCACTCAGATGGCACTGAGAGGAGGAAAAGGGCTCAATTAGGGATTAAACTACAAATTAGGTGTCCAGGAGGTGAAGGCGTTGGGTCCACTCAGATGGCACTGAGAGGAGGAAAAGGGCTCAATTAGGGATTAAACTACAAATTAGGTGTCCAGGAGGTGAAGGCGTTGGGTCCACTCAGATGGCACTGAGAGGAGGAAAAGGGTTCAATTAGGGATTAAACTACAAATTAGGTGTCCAGGAGGTGAAGGCGTTGGGTCCACTCAGATGGCACTGAGAGGGGAAAAAGGGTTCAATTAGGGATAACACTACAAACAAGGTGAAGGCGTTAGGTCCACTCAGATGGCACTGAGAGGAGGAAAAGGGTTCAATTAGGGATTAAACTACAAATTAGGTGTCCAGGAGGTGAAGGCGTTGGGTCCACTCAGATGGCACTGAGAGGGGAAAAAGGTTTCAATTAGGGATAACACTACAAACAAGGTGAAGGCGTTAGGTCCACTCAGATGGCACTGAGAGGAGGAAAAGGGTTCAATTAGGGATTAAACTACAAATAAGGTGTCCAGGAGGTGAAGGCGTTGGGTCCACTCAGATGACACTGAGGGGGGAAAAAGGGTTCAATTAGGGATTAAACTACAAATTAGGTGTCCAGGAGGTGAAGGCGTTGGGTCCACTCAGATGGCACTGAGAGGAGGAATAGGGCTCAATTAGGGATTAAACTACAAATTACGTGTCCAGGAGGTGAAGGCGTTGGGTCCACTCAGATGGCACTGAGAGGGAAAAAAAGGGTTCAATTAGGGATAACACTACAAACAAGGTGAAGGCGTTAGGTCCACTCAGATGGCACTGAGAGGAGGAAAAGGGTTCAATTAGGGATTAAACTACAAATAAGGTGTCCAGGAGGTGAAGGCGTTGGGTCCACTCAGATGGCACTGAGAGGGGGAAAAGGGTTCAATTAGGAATAACACTACAAACAAGGTGAAGGCGTTAGGTCCATTCAGATGGCACTGAGAGGAGGAAAAGGGTTCAATTAGGGATAACACTACAAACAAGGTGTCCAGGAGGTGAAGGCGTTAGGTTCACTCAGATGGCACTGAGAGGAGGAAAAGGGTTCTATTAGGGATAACACTACAAACAAGGTGTCAAGGTGGTGAAGGTGTTGGGTCCACTCAGATGGCACTGAGAGAAGGAAAAGGGTTCAATCGGGGATAACGCTACAAACTGCCGCTGATCAACTACTGGGGCCAGCATCATCCTGCTTCTGTACTCATCCTGCTTCTGTACTCAAATGTCTACAGTATATCAGATCACCAGAATCTCTAGCACAATCACAATTCAAGGAGGACAAACAGAAATGGTCAGAATTTGATTTGAGACAACATTTTGAACTTTAATTACTATTGTATGTATTTCTACATACAGCTGGTCTGAAATGCACTGTCCAGATTAATTTACTCAAATGAGAAGTATAGCTGCAAATATAGTGGAACAGGCGACCAGAATAAGCTTTTACTGCATTGGTGTGACGCTACAGAAGAGGCACACATGCATTTTGGTTTTCCTATTGGTCGAAGGAGCCCGGAGTGCGTATACAATACTTGAGCGCAACTCGCACAAGCCTGGTGCCACCACAGAAAAAAGTTGCCGCCAGATTTGTCTATAAAATGAGGCAGTTGTTCAAGTAGCATAAGCCTACTGTGTTTACTTTGACTTGATATACTATGTATACTCAGGCAGCATCAGGTAAGATGGGTTTTATGAGCAGTGGTATACCTAATATTGTTATACCTCTGTCTTGAATATTGCATTTCTATTGGCCCAGAACGATCACTCATTTTCGTGGGATATCACGTACATGTATGTACGTGCGGTGTGAAATGCTTGTAGCGTTGGTACCCACTTTATTTGCACCATGTTTTCACACGAGTGGGAGCAGCGAACTAGCAGATGATGTGAGTTGCCGTTCGATTGTCATGATTGTTGTGTTTACTTCTGTTTGTTTTGGGGGATTTTTAAATCTAAATCCAAAAAAATTCCAACACAGAGGTATAACAAACAATTGTTGACTGCTATGATGTGGGATATGACGTTTTGAACACCCTCTGGCTGAGATGTGCTGTGAACAAACTTAGTCTTGATATTTGACATATTGGACACTGCCCATCACAGTGCGACACTGACCTCATAGGACTGAATTCCAAATGGGTCCATGAATCCATCCCAGGATGCTTTGACAGAGTCTCTCTGTGACTGGTACCTATCGCGTGTGTCATATTGAGTCTCTGACACGGTCTTCAGATTGACGACTGCTGCTGATGAGCTAGGAGGCACTGTAACTATGGTAACGCCATCTGATGATTTCCATGAGGACTTCTCAGCACCATTGTAGCATGTGATGGTTACGTACAGGCGCTGACCCTCAACCATAGCCTGGGACAGACTGGTGGTGATGCTGGAAGTGGCATCAGGAGATGGTGAGCTTGGTAGGATGTCATCAAGTCCAGGCTCGGATCCTGGGAAGAAAGGGAAGAAACCCACTGATTGTCTAGTTTTCAGGGTTTCATGCACGGTTTCTCTGAGCGAGGTGGCCAGTATTTTACTCAGACTCAGATTCAAAACAAGTCATGTTAAGGTGGTCATACAAATCCAATAATAGTCAGAAAGTATACAAATATAAAATGATTTGAGGGTGGACAGTCGATATTAGCTCCCCGAGGTATTGGAAGTAGACAGACTAGTTCCCAAATTGACAAACTAGTTCCCGAGGCAAATCCGAGGGAACTAGTTTGTCAACTTCCAATACCGAGGGGAGCTAATATGGACTGTCCATGCGAAATAAGCCATGTTATATTTGTTTTACTATACCTCATACATATTCAGTTGCTGAAGTTTCCCATTGCAGTATGCACCTTGTGGCCAAAAAAACTTGTCCAGCTCACCAGAAGAATATTATTGCTCAACCTCTGAAAAGTTCAGTTCGTTTGCAATAGAGAAACTACGGTTGTAAATACAGTTGTTTGTGGACAACTTTTTTTTAGTATAAAAGGAGGCATCTTTATTGCGCGCGCTCGGCAAACAGCAAAAATAACATCTGGCACGTGATGTTAAATGGACAAGTGAGAATTCGGCTCATGAATATATATGAGCTATAGTAACAGGAGATATCAAACTTACCAACTGCCCATTCACAGTGGTCAATTCCACTCTCAGGATCAGATGCTGACCAAGTAAATGTGAGAGATGAATCATCTGCACTGAAGTCAATATCTGTTGAGAAGAAACGAATTCTCGATGAGATGTTCTTGCTAAGCTGTGCTTGAATAGTAAATTTGCGTTTTGACCAGTCACAAGACGTCCTACTGCAAGGAACACTACATGCAAGGACTAATTCTCATGCGTTTGTCATGCCCATGTTATGGAGAACATATGCCCATCATACGCACAACAATGCTAGTCTTATCTGAAAGTTTACGATCCCATACTGCGTGTGCATGCAATACAAAGGAAGGTCTAACTCTCCATCTTTAACCATTCAAAGGGTATTTCTGCACAGGCTAAAGTCCATGACTATTTTCTGCATCCTGTTTTGGACTAATACTGGTCTAGAACGGCTACATCTCCAGTCTATAAATATAGCTGTTAACTTCATACAAACTGTGTTACATATAAAGTACTTCATATTGTACCTAAATTACCTTGTACATGAGCACCTGTAAGATGCATGTAACGCATTGCAGTGACTTAAGCTACACTCCACCATTTGCAGCTATCAAATTGACTGACATAATTATTGTTGACAAACATACTTGGTTTTAAAGATAGTAAGGGGACTGAACTCCCTGTGAAATTATTCATTCTGGCATGCTTCATTTTGAAGAAATAAACAGTGCGTCTTAAGACGCACCGTTGGAAATTTCCGTTAGTAGTTCCTTTTTTTTATACGGCGAAGCGCGCGCAAGCGTTGACACGACGTACACGTGCACGCGCCCTCTATAATTTGTCGGATCAGTGCGCGACATCGCGTAACTGCATTCGGCTCAGTAAGAACGTGTCTCGGACGCTGAATTCAGGCCCAATTCAAAACATGATAAAGCAACTCTTGATTTAAAATCGAGATCCTAGAATGTTGTTTTTCTCGAAAAATACTGCTGAAGCTGAGCTGAAACTATATCAGGTTAGTTGTTCAGTACTCTTCTTTAGATTTTGAGAACGTTTGATGCTTCAAACGAACAAAATGCACAAATTACAAATGATGGATTATACCTTTAATACATTTCTAGGATGCATATAGCATTCTCAGATTTGCCTCGGGTGCCATGTTTGCTTGCTTACTTGGGCATAACAAGTCAACTTTGTTAAATGTCAGTTTAGAAAAGAAAAGTTGGAATTTGACATACCGTGGCCATCGCCACCATCTTTGACAAAATGAATCATGGGTGGCGTAAGGTCAACCAGAATGGGGTCAGAGGTTGCTATGGTGATGAGATCAGCTGCATTTCTTGCCATCACGGTGACGTAGACGTAGAAGCCATGTGCCATCATGACGTCAGTATTGATAGCGTCTGTCTGCGTACCCACTGATGTGAAGCTTTGTAGCTGGGTGCCACCTTTGGTTGTACCTAATAAATGATTAAAAATAAGAGGTGATTCAGCAATACTCAAAACAACAAACCATGTTGTAAGTAGTATACAAATATAACATGGTATGAGGGTGGATAGTCGATATTCGCTCCCCGAGGTGTTGGAAGTAGACAAACTAGTTCCCGAGGCGAAGCTTCAACTTCCAATACCGAGGGGAGCTAATATCGACGGTCCACCCAAAAAAAAAACATGATATATTTGTTTTTTATATATGTATCTAAAATAAAAGTTTCGGAAAAAATTGTACAGCACACCAAAAGAACATTGTTGCTCAATTTTACTAGTTCGGTTCGTTTGCAATGCAGTTGTAAATACAGTAGTTTGTGTACAACTTTCTTTTGTACAGGAGGCATCTTAATTGTCCATGAATTTGCTCCAGTACGACATCATTGAGCTCGGGAAAATTAACATTTACGTGAACCGTGCAACCATGCATCCCTCTTTTGGGCGATGTTCACGCCTGCATACTACACCAGTGCGACAGTTCCTCGATTGGTTTGCAAAGTGCATGCGTAATAGACTGTGGCAAGGGCAACCCGTGCGACAGTCTACTACGCATGCGTATTTACCCTGTGCATGGGTCCTCTCGCGCGCGTTTGGTAAACAGCAAGAATAATGTGGTATAGTAATAAAGTCTGTCACGGGCCAATGTGCCCCATCAGGCCAGCGTTTATCTCTGGTTTAAGTAGCGTGGAACGACTGAGATATATTATATTCCCCTTGGATGGTATGCTAGTTCATCGCAGGTTATACTTCCCAGCTAATGCTGGTACCCATTTATACTTCTCGTGGGTGAGAGGCAAGTGGGGGTGAAGTGACTTTCCCAAGGACACAACATACGCCCAGCAGTTGGCTTTGCACCCCTTACCCTCTGATCATGAGTCACAAACCCTAACCACTAGGCCACACTCCCAATGTCCTTGGTCATAAATAGAAGGCCCTTGATAGTGGATTCACGAGATTACTAAGAAACCCTGGTTTCCCGGGCATCAGAAATGTCAACACCACAGCCATTTCATGGCACAATGACTTTCTCCTTAAAAGAAACAAGAAGTCCAAGACTCAACCTACCTATGGCCCAGGTGTAGTCGACTATGGGACTCTCAGGGTCAATGAAATGCCACTTGGCCTGGATGGACGACCAGCTGTGAATGAACTGGGTATGTACCTCTACAGACCCTCCACCAGTACTGGGCCAAGTGGCAATCTGCCTAACCTGAAATGGGATGGTCAGATGAAATGGTGAAATCAAATGGAATGTATGAGCAGGTTATAAGGAAAATGGATTGAGATCCCACACCTATATTAGGACAAGTTGATGATAGTAAACAGTAGTAGAATGTACGATCAGTGGGTACTTGGTTTATCTTGATCTATGCGGTTATTAAACTAATAGTTTATTTTATGAGTCAGCAACATTTATGTTCAGAAATTTTGATATTGATCTGTTCATCCAAGGTGTAAGTGATAAATTTGGAAATTTAGCTATGACTTTATGGAAACTGTTTAATAATGCAAGTTTCAAAGATTTTTTTTAAACAGCTTAAAACAATGTAGGGGATGTGTTTATACCTACAAAATTAACTATACTGGGCCTATAGGAGATTCTTTTCACCTGAACATTATCCAATAAGATTCCATTTGATCTTCCTTCAGATGAGATTTTCAGTGTTGCTACGTCTCCACTGGCTGTGAAGTAAAATCTGTGCTGATGCCATCGGATGGACCTCAGACTCTGGTCTGAGTGACTGTGTGCCGGCCGGTCATACAACCTGAAGATGCGATCCAATCCTGGGGCCTCGATACGACCCTCCTGATTCAGCAAAGGGTTGTGGGATGGCACCGGGTGACTCACAAAGACCACAACTTGGTAGTGGCTTCCCTGTGTTGTGTTGAAGGTTTGGGAGATGGAGCCATGAAGAGACAAGAAGGAATGACCATCTTGAGCAATCTTCTTCCCTGATGTGACCACAGCAAATTGGCTGTCAGATCCTACATCCCACTGAACTAGTACCTCACCTCGTTTACCATCGGTAACGTGCACACTGGTTGTGGATGACATTTCTTCAGTTGACAAATTGGTGGCAGAAGTGGGATAAGTATCAGAGACACTGCCGTGATTTGGATCAGATGTACCCGAGGCTTCATTTAATGTCTCATTCTCAGCAATCACTGTTGTATATTCATATTCCATATCTAAAGAGATCAACAAGATGGTTTCAAACATTTGCTTAATTGGATCAGAAGAACCTTTTATGGAAGTTAGGTTTGAAATAGCAAAACTTCTTTTCTCTCAATTTTGTTCTAATGAAAACTGTTTAAACAAGTAATATGAAGATATGAATGAACCTAATGATGTTGTACTCTCAATGGCTTTTTGATTCACCTGTTATGTCTGGTTCCTGCATCTTTTCAAATGATGGATTCTGGATCAAGTTATCCCCTAGATTTATCTGTACTAGTGGCTCAGGGGGTGTAGTGTCCGACACAAACCCGTCTGAAGAGACAGATACAGACTGCAAGCCAGCTGCGTCGATGGCTGAAATCTTGGAGTAATATCGGATGCCTGATAAAAATAGGGATCAAATTCATAGTTATTGGTCACCCGTAGACAAGTATTTGGTCCATATCTTTAGGCTTAGGGATTCAGATGGTTTGCACACACCATCTCCCCTAATTTTTTCACAAGAGTATTAGTCCAAAATATCTTAGATAATAGAGGCCTGTTTTTGTATAATTTGCATACAAATATTTTCCCTAAATCCTTGAGGATTTTTGAAGAATTTAGGAAAGTCGGTCTGAGCATCTTCTAAATTCCTTTACCATGCCGGCACATTATGTGTACTCTAAATGAAGGAGCATCATGCCCAATGTTATAATAGCAGCTGGGATCTACAATAACAAATGTTGTAATGATGAATCCTTCAAAGCTTTCTTGTAGATTATGAATGATTTCTTTTAGATTAAATCTGCTAAGGGGGAAAGCACCATCTTTCCACAGAAAGCCAATGAGTTTGCCTGGTATAAGCAATTAAAATTTTCACACAGACTTGCGGATATTCAGAGTCAAAGAATTTATATCCTTCAGTCAGGTCAATAAATGAACATCTTCATCCCTTAAAAATTCGATTAAGAGCCATTTTCCCTTAAAAATTACAGATAACTAAATTTTCATGGATTTTTCAACATATTAAGCCAGAGAAAGAGTCCGTGAAAACACCCTTAAGAAAGTCCTTTGTTTACCCATGGAGATAGACACAGTGTACCGTTATGTATGACCAATGATAATCCTCAGTGGCCAGGATCATTAAAAAAAACGTGAAAATACCCTTATAGGATTAGTCCTATATAAGCCCCATGTAAACATCCGTGAAACATCTCTTAAAGATTGTTTTCACGGAGAAATGGACTTTTAATGAAAATTTAAGGGATCAGATGTTCATAATCATTCAGGACATCGAGTATCCACGATGCTTGACAGACAAAACCTTACCATCTGTGAGAGGCACAGCTAGAGTCTTGGAGGCAGACAGGTGGATTCCAACATTGGTGCAGGGCAGAATGCCATCATCTGCTGGGCTAGAGGTCTGTCCAACGCACCACTCATAATGGTCTATGTAGGATTCCAGATCCACAAAGCCATGCCAGGAGGCTGAGATCAATGTGCTAGAGTTCTGGTATTCCACGTCATGAAGATCTGCAACAAAGAAGTAAAGTTCAGAAAACCTCAGTTCAGGTTTGTTCTGCTTTTAGCTATGGAAAAATTACTCTTTGGATATCAGCATCAGATTCTATAGACCTTTATCATGCTGCCACCATTTCAGTCATGTTCCCTGTATCCAATTATAGTCCTGAATGATAATGTTTTTGTGCAAAAAGGAACCAGACTAATGTTCCTTCCAACCTTGCTTCGGTTACGTTCATTTGAATGGGGAAAAATGAAGATGGCCGCAACAATTCAATGGTCTATATTCAAATTTATACATTAAAGCCTTCCTACGCAAACATTCATTCTGTGCCAAGACGTAAATTCAATCAAAATTAGTCAAGTGAGCTAAGAGCTCCCAGCCTACATAAAGCAGGATTGACTGGCTGTGACTGTCTATGGAACTTGGTACACTATGCTTAAGTGGATGGACCTTTTGACTGTCTGTGCCTGTTCAAACAGGAGGAGGGTTTACATTTGTCAGTGTTACATATTTTGCTTGAGTGTAAATGTATAGTAGAGATGATGTACACAGATATTTTAAAATTTGTGGACCATCAGGGTAGAGGTCTTTCAATCTTACCACAACTGCAATCCTATGTGTGTTGCTTTTTACCAAGAGTCATGATGCTTATGTCCAAGAGCAAGACACTTTACTGCAATTACATACTGGGGATATGATTGTTTCCTGATGAGTGAAGGGACTATTGTGTCAGTGTGGTTACAGAAGTGATTATGGAAGTGATGCATTAGGCACTGACAAGGAATTGTGCAAAGAAATACAAAGCACAAGAGCTGTTCAGAGATGCTTTTGAGTCACCATTATCCATGAAGCATTGACTGTACATTATGAAGGAGAAACAAGGTGACTATTCACCTATGCCATCAAACACAAGGCCTGCATCTGGCCTCCTTGTGTCCACCACAAAGCCATCACTGCTTTTAAGAGTGTGCAGACCAGCTTTGTTGAATGCGCGTACGTTGCTGTAGTATCGCAGTCCACTCTTTAGATTCAGATTGGTGAACTGTGTGGAGGACACACTGGTTGGGAAGGTGTGGTCAGCAAACTGACGAATATCTTCACCTGAGAAACAAGATAGTTTACATCTTTTACATTCTGAAGTCGGGCAAAACATGACAAGAACGCATCACAGAGACCTCTAGTCCTGCTAGTAAATGTTTTAAAGAGCAAGGGTGACTCATATAAGAAACAAGATGGTTCTCGAACCATGCGTCGCCTGCTTTCGCGAATATCTTTAAAGAGTGACTAATCAGTATGAAGGTTGCCATGTTGCATGTATATGACCCAAGTTTGGTTCCAATTGGACTTCAACTTTTGAAATGAGACCAATACGTTCTGCCTATTTTACAACTTGACCTCAGATGACCTTTAACCTTGGTACGTGACCTTTGACTTCATTATCACATATCACAGAAGGTTGCCATGTTGCACCTATGACCCAAGTTTGGTTCCAATTGGACTTCAACTGTTGAAATGAAAGCAATTTAACATGTTCAGCCTATTTTACAACTTGACCCCAGATGACCTTTGACCTTGGTATGTGACCTTTGACATCAATGTCAGAAGAAGATTCCTATGTTGTATTTATGATTCAAGTTTGGCTCCAATTGGACTTCAACTTTTGAAACGAGACCAATTTGATGAAACTTTATTAAACCAAAATACCACATACATGTACACACTATACATGACTTGTGCAGACTTAGTCATTGCATAGTCTCTTTCCTGAACTTCATTCAGGCGAGACAAAAAGTGAGTTTTTGAGTTGATTTGGTGAGATTTGAGTGTACTTACCTCCTTGGTAGGTACTCAGAGACACCTGGTAGTGGGACATTGCTTCGTCTAAAAACACTCTCTCCCAGGAGATAAAGAGGACGTTAGGATCCGTCAAGTAATCAGTGTCTTTCCTGGCATCAGATCTGGCAAGATCTTTTATCTGGAACAAAAATGTATTTCATTCAGGTACTTTGACAATATTGAAGGAATGATTGGCTGAAGAGGTTTGATAAAACTGCAATTATGGCTTGTGTATTTTCAATGATCTCACATTATTAGAAGAAAGAGCACTGTTAAAGAACCAAAGAAAGGATATATTGCCTGGTTTTGCCAGATTCCATTTGTACATCTGACTCTCTAATTCTCATACCTTTGCACCTCTGACTGTTGATATTTTTGGTGGTGTGATATCCGGGGTGATGCCATCTGATCTGAACACTGCGTATGTAGTAGGATTATACCAGGCCCTGATGAACACATGATACGTGACTCCTTTCTCCATCTTGTGATCTATAACAGATATTAACATTAGTTTCTTTGCTTCTTGTACACAACAAAAAAAGGGGGGAAAAAGCAAGGTCAGGGTGACATTCTGCTCATTTTATAAGAAACTTTAATAACCAATCAGTCCCTGTTGTGCCCTAAACCGCCCGAGCAATATATGGATTATCAATCGATTCATCAGGGAACAGATACAATGCAATACAGGGTGAGTAAAAAAAAAAAAAACCCAAATAGCAGGACAAATTTTTGAATGAAGTTTTGCCTGTAACACTTTCAAAATCTAGGATATCAAAGCCCAGTAATTAAGCTTCTTTTAGTACAAGAATAGTTCAAATCACTCATGTACTTTTCAAGTCACGGGATGTTTAACACAAACACTGTTTTAAAGTTCTGTCCAAGGATCGCAAACACGTATATTCCTACAGCAAGACGAAAACGATTCTCAAAGGGTTGTACATGAATTGTTTTCGTTTTACTAAAAGAACACTTTTTTGTGATCTGTGGATCAATTTAAAATGGTGTTTGTGTTCAAAATTCCGTAACTTGATAAGTACATGAGTGATTTGAATGATTTTTTTGTACTAAAAGAAAGTTCAGAGATTCGGATTTCATATCCTAGATTTTGAAAGTGCTACAGGCAAAACTTCATTCAAAAAATGGTCCTGCTATTTGGGTTTCGTTTTTTTACTCACCCTGTACAATTTAGTACATTATGTACAACATTTATTAAAAAACTTTTTTTTCTTCATTATTTATAACGTTGACTTATAAATTGGACGGATTTCATTACCTTCATCCAGTGTGATGATAGTTTGGTTGTTTTGTCCGATATCATACCATAACCTATCCTGAACTGGATCAAAGATTCCCACAGGATCTGACGAAGAGTCATCACCAATGCTCCATTCGAACCTGCAAATATTATAAATTCATAAATTTCTACGACAGTCTACCCAATCCTGTTGGTAGAGAGCAAGTCATGTGGCCGGCTTTAAACGGTTGATAAAGACCGGCTGAAATTTCACATGAAATTTGGACTCCTCTAAAATCTGGTGCCAGTACAGTTTTATTGGTTGAACGTTCACAATCCTCATGCAGGCATGCGCAATACCACAAGTGAGTCAGTATTTCATAGTCCTAAATTCACACTACACAAGCACAGCTGCATGCTGCGTCACATCACGCAGTACACGCGCGCCACATCACGCAGTACACGCGCGCCAATCTCCATATAAGGAGGTTTTTTTTTACTTCTCGCGAGAGGGCCATACCATAGCATAGCTAGAGGGGTGTTTCGAAAAACATGAAGTAAAGTTGTTGGAAAGATCTTACAGACCTGAGTAAATTAGTTTCAAAATTCAATCCTGCAATTATATCATAAACGTCAATCATAGAACGACATATCAAAAACCCCTTTAAGGAGCAGTGGCCACCACTATTAAACTGGGTAAAAGTTTACCAAGTATCAATTTCTAAAGATGTATAGTCACTCAAGAATTATATAGTAAATGGTTCACAGATATCAATTCCATAATCGATATAAATCACATGTCTCACCACTTAATATCCAGTCCTTTCTGCTCAGTGACTCGCCATACTGCAGCAGCCATAGACTGAGTGGCGGTATCATCAATATCAATCACATTATTGATATCATCATTCATCAGATCCAATACATCCAAAACTTCTATCTCAGTGTTGGGGTTACCTTCAAGTCATCGTAAAAGAATGGGTCAAGACCATCAAAATAACATAACAGTTTAACAGCACTGGTTTGAATCCTGCTTAAATAGTTATCAAGCTGCATGTCATCATTTCCTTACTATCACAACTGATGTTTATCACTTTTCTGCTTAAAGATGTTTGCTCACATCTCTAAAACCCACGCCTTTATCATCATCATCTCACAAAATTGTCATACTTTGTCATCAGTTGGCATGTTACTTTTCAGCTTTGGTTCATGGAAATACATGTACACTGCGAAAAAAAGCGTCTCTGCGAACTATAAAGCTTGACTATGGGCTCCGTGCACGAACAAAAGAGGGCGCGTTTTTGCCACTTTTCAGAGCACCGTGGACAGGACATACAGCGTGTGCATACTGTACTGTACTCTACTGGTTAGCGCACAAAGTACGCACGACTTCCTGAACGTGCCAAAGCTATTACTCACAGTGTCTTCACGTTAGCGTCAGGCGTAGTCAGCGCGCAAATACATTCAAATTTAATTTGCGATGGTCTTCCAGACTAATCCCGTCCCCAATATCTTTGGATCATTCGAAATACGCAGTGGATGGACTGGGAACCAGTCTAGGTCTCCCGAACTCTCCTTTCTGTCTGTTGAAAGGGTACTTGTGCAGGGAGCCCATATGACAGACTGAGGGTAACTGAGAACCTTGTTCTTGGATCTCCCTCTAGTTCTAAGGATTAACCCATTTGTCTCTGTACCGCCCAAAAGTGCCCGGCTTGTCAATTCTTATACATGTTATACACCCCTCAACCACCCAGTGGCGTAGCCAGGAATTTTTCAGTGGGGGGGGGGGGGGGGGGGGGGGGCGCTGGAACATTTCATGGGGGGCGTCATGTAGATCAATGATATTTTTTTTAGAAACTCAAAATCTCAGTGGGGGCGGGGGGGGGGGGGTGACTGGGGGGGCGACAAGGTTTCATGGGGGGGCTGTCGCCACTGCAACCACCCCAACAATCTATGGTGTCACAGATTCATCAATGAGTAAATACGGCGTATAAGTTAAACAAATGATTTAAGATTTTAAACTCATATGATGATTTGTGCTGATAATTGCTACCCTTGGTAGCAATTTTCAGCACAAATCCTCGATTCATTTCCGAGATAATGGCCTCCAAAAAAACCAACAAATTTACGAATGTGCGAAAGTGGGCGTGGCACATCATTATGTCATCATGTCGCCCGCAGGCGGGATCCCCCTCGGCATCTCCAATCTTCCCTATCCTTTATGCAGGCAGCCAACAAAGATGGGGTTTGGAAGGCCATATCTCAGAAACCCTAAGGAGTTGAGGCCTAAATTGTGCTTGTGTTAGGTTCTTCTAGATTTTTTAAAGCAAAATCTGAGTCGATCGCCATAGGACCTCTGGTTGGAGTGAATATGGAATGGCCTATACACCTAAACTTACTGTGAGTGACATCAGTGCAATACTGGTATGGATTACATGTTCTATCAATGGGTGCACACGCACAATGGCCCTTGCATGTTGTAGGGAAGCAGCGTCGCAGCAGGACAAGGGAGCCCTCGTCTGGTAGAGTAGGAGAGGCTTCAAAAGTGGAATGATGACGGCTGCTTGGTATCCCAACCTACAGAGATATTAAAAACAATATGAATTCAAAAAGTAGTTTATCTTTTTATACTTTCATTGATCACGTTACAACCAAACCTCTTTCTAGAATGAGACAAAGTTTTTGTGACCAGTAACATCTTTTCACGAGATGAATCTGCGTCAGGGTGATGTAAATGAATATTAGGTTTTGCCCATTTAACATCTTAAAGGTATAGTAGATCATTTGTCATGTGTGCATATTTTTCGTTTGAAGCAACAAAAGTGCTCAAAATCTAAAGACAGGTGCTTAACAACTAACCTGATGGAAGTTTTAGCTCTATGAATGCTGTGCACTCAGAGAAAACAATATTCTAGAATCTCGGTTTCAATTCTAAAGTTGCTGAGTCATGTTTTCAATTGCGCCCGTAATCAGCATCTGGGACACGTTTTCATGCAGCTGGTTACAGTTACACGATGTCGCGCACTGAACCGACGAATAATAGTAACCATTTGCGTGTGTGCGTCGTGTCAACACTTACTAAATGTGACATTTGGCTCATCCTTGGAAAGGACCTTCTTTTATTATTTTCTTCATATTGACAGCATGCCAGAAGGAATCATTTCACAGGGAGTTTATTGCCATTACTATCTTTCAACCAAGTCAGCTTTTCAACAATAATTAGGTCAGTTACTTTTTGGATAGCTGCAAATGATCTACTGTACCTTTAAATGAAGGTCATAAACCTCAGCTTTCACCATTTGGTATATATTGTTTCATGTTGAATGGAAATCAATGTTAATCATAAGTGTGCTTTGTTTCACTTTTTTAAAATATGAACAAAATATTGAAATCCACAAGTTTCTCCTCAGCTCATACATGAATTTCTTTACTAGAGACCTTAAAGAAATGTATCCTTTCATTATATCAGATATTTTGCCGAGAATAGCTGATCTCCAATTTGAACAGAATAAAAAAAATTGACGGTGGCTCCAGATGAAGAGATTAATTAGGAGTAAAATTTCAAATAAATGTTGCACTTGTAAATCAGAGGTTTTACACTTTTCCCAACCAAATGTGATCTACATTTGTACAGATTCATAACAACAATTACAACTCATTACCCCGTTAACAGCCCAGATGGAGATGTAGAGATACGGATGAGATGGGTCTGTTATACTGCCCTCTAGTGGTATGATGGCTGTCTGTGCGATGCCTTCGTCCAATGACATGCCGTCATTGCGGTGGTTTACACGGACCGGTCCATTCTTAGGAAAACAAAATTGTCATATACTTCACTTGTGACACACAAGAGTTCTGAATATAACATTCTCGAAAACCACACAAAACCAGAATTGTATTGTTCAAAAGAGTCATCTAGAGCAAAGTGCGCTTCAGATTCTTGCAATTAGTACAACAGAAAACTTGACATAGAAAACTGAATCAAAGGGCAAGTTCGTGCAAGAACTATTGTTAACCATAGTTCGAATAAGTTAAGCCAAACTCTGACTAGTCGACGATGGTTGGACTACGTTAGTCGACTATTTGGAACCACCCTACTGGGGCTGGTCGCATCACTGGTTATCAGTAGCCTCGTTTCATTACTTAAGTGCAGAGGGAACCATTGACAAAAGGTTAAACCGTAGCGAGTTGTACTACCCGCTGGTGGGCCTCGGAGATATCTACCAGTTCATTCAACAGGTCAAAGAACGTAAACAATCCATACATACTCGTGACCGCCATATGTTGACGATGGTTCGACTACAGTCGTTGGCACTTTAATGTCACAGCGCATGTGTCCTATTTGATACCAACCATCCATTGGTTGACCGATGGTTAATGTGCGAACTTGCCCAGAGATGCAACAAACAGAACACATCAATGAAAGATCAAATACAATGGAATAAAATGGTCAACAAATGAATGACACTTTTTTAGAGGCAGATGTTGAACTATTTATGCAATTATCTGAAAATTGTCTTTGTTAATAACAGCTATATGCTGGACTTGAATAACCAAAGAAAGCACAAAGGTACCGGAGTGAGTTCAGTGCCGCTGTACGTGCGTCCGGCAGAGACCAAGTAGTGGCTGATACCAGAGTGTACATCAGCAAATCCCAGCCAGGCAAGGGCTAAGGAACCCAGGGATGTACGGGGGTCTTCAAGCCACGTCATCCAGCCAGAGTAGTCTGTTCCATCAGGCTGTTTTGGAGGTTAACATATGAATCATACCAGAATAACTCAAAAATGTTCACATTCACAAACATTTTAGCAGGATTTAAGAGACAGTTGCGTTTGTTTTGTGATTTTGGTAGTCCCTGAAGGGTAAAAGACAGCATCAAGAGGAACTTGAGTTTCCAATAGAAAATTGAAGATAACAGCAAACTGAAACTGGTACTTTATACACATTAAGATGGTACAACAAAAGGTGTCCTTTCAAATGTTCTCCTTTATACAAACTTCCTTATTAGTTTTTTAGTTTCAAATTCCTCTCTATCCTCTCTTTTACACATAACAGATGAACTTTCTGAAGTAAGATTTTTCTTGAGAAACAATCAATAAACACTGGCAACAAAAACAATGCTTCAAAAGGGGAATTTTTGGTATAGAAATTGCACAAAACAATGAACACATTAAATGTTCATACAACGAAAGCCGGAATAATTTCATAAACTCACAGTTGAACTAGGTTCAGTTGGATCAATCCAGATGATGTGATGACGCTCCAAGTTAGCAGCACTCTCTGTGCTCACAGCAAACGTCCCAACAGAAGGTGGGCTGCCATCAACCTGAGGAAGAGAAATGATTCAAGAAATGATGGTACAGTGCCATCTTACTAATGAGAGAACTAGTTAAAAAGGATTATGGGTGGGGATACATTAAGACAATAACACTGATGGCAATTATGATGACAGATGACAACAGAGACACACACTATGGTATGTGTGTATGACAACTCAAAGAACTGAATCAATGACTTTGATTCGACCGCCAAAGATAATGTCAAAGTAACAAAAACTTTCATGAGAGGCCAGAATTGTGGAGGTACATGTGTGGTTACCATAAGAGATTGTGAAGTGGATGCCACATACTAAGACTGTCCTGAATATACCGAACATTCGAGTATTCAATCACCAACTGAATGATGGAATAGATTTTTGCCGGCTTGAATATTCGTTACCCCCCCCCCCCAAAAAAAACCCACCAAAACAGAAAGAAAAGAAACCACTTGCACATGACTGTGGTGTTATTTTTTAATTGTAGAGTTACGGCGCTAATTCCACGGTCTACCGTGTCAAAAATACCACAGTATCAGGTACTACTGGGTTCTTTTGTAGGCAAGCTCTTATTGTCAATAAAATAACAAGAACATTATATGGTAAGAAGCCTGCGGTAGCCTACGGCTGAGCAGATTTTTTTTTTATTGGCCACTTGCAAAACGAATTGTTTTCCTCCGCTTTTTTGAATCAACATCATTATATTCGCAAGAATGCCAAATGTAAAAGAAAAAGCTTACTTTTATTTCCTCCATCATTACAACTGATGATCGATCATTATCAGAGCACGTGTTTATCAAGCATATCGACGATGTTTTCGATTTTGAGTTTTGCCGGCCAATTTATTGCATTTGACAAAAGGAAGAATTTGGCCGAGTTTCAAAGCAAAATATAGTAATTATCGTAAACAAACATTTGACAAAATGCATAAAATCCGTGTTTTTCTGTTTTCACAAAGTGACACAAACTTACCTCGTTAGCAGCGCCAGAGGAATAAAGCATTTCTCTACACACACTTTAGGATGGGATTGGACGGGATTGGATGCACACGCCGTGAACGATGTCGATAAAGAACAGACGCGCGCACGCTGCAGTGACGTCAGACGCGCAAATGTAACAATTTCTTAGAACGTTTTATGTTTGCACAAAGTGACAAAGAGTGTGTACAACTTAATGGGACAAAATAGTGAGGCCTCTGTGTTTTGCTGTTTTCACGAAGTGAACAAAATTTTTATTGATCTTTATTAATGAATTACAGCTTAATTAAGAGAGACTTCTAATAAACAACTTTGAATTAGCCAAGAACAAAGCATACGTTACTTGACAATGCAAGAATTTCTCAAATCCATAACTAAAAACTAGTCGAAAAGGTGTTTTGAAATAATGATTAACTTCAAAAGCGATTATCTCGGAATGACCTTTTTGCATGATATTGAGGTTTTTGTCACTTTGTGAAAACACCGTCGACATGTTCGCCGTCCGTCTTCTCTATGCCCGATGGGTACACCCAATACTTGCATGAATCTAAGTATGCATTTATAAGCACTTATAAAACATAATTTTAGTATTTATCCCAATAAACGTCGTGGAATTTTTTCCTGAAATTTTGGTTGTTGATAAAAAGTTATTTGAAATGATATAAAACTACTTGTTAAAATCATGTTTTTAAACAATTATTGTTTTAATTTGAACACTGTGAGAAAAAAGTGCACTATTATTAATATAGATGTCACGAAGCGTTAAAATCATGTTTTTAACCAATTATTGTTTTAATAAGAATACTGTGGGTAAAAACTGCACTATTATTATAGATGTCACAAAGAGTCGTATGGAACTTATCCTTGATTCCCTTTGCGAGTTCAGGGTCGGAGAGTCACATTGGTTGATGCCACCTGCCATGTTTATGGCTTTATACGTCCCCTGTGCAAACAAGGAATCCACCTCTCTTTCCCATGATTCCACTTTTTCAAATAAATAACCCAAACCTCCCCTACAACTAACCCAAGTGAATTCCATACCGTTTCGTTGGTATTTCGGTATTGTGGCATGATCACTTGATATGTTTGTTTGTTTTTTAAATAAAATTCCCTGACTAAACCGTAATACTGAAATACTGCACTACCAGATGCCACTTTTTGTAGCTGGCAACTTTTTTTTCTGTCATCGGCGGTTCAGTGTTCCCATCCTTCTAGCGTGTAGCTGCAGCTGGCTTGTGCAGAACTTGACCTGGGAGTTTTGAATGTTCAGTCAAATGCAGTTTCGAATTATAATCAAATACTAAATTATTCGAAAATGAACAGCCCTAATACATACCAATAAGGGTTCCGTCTTGGCCTGTGTGCAGAGACCAGCAAAGTTACAAGCCACTACGGTAACGATGTAACGACTGCCTTCATGTAATGTCAGATTGGTGAAGGTGTAGTCCAACTCACTCCCCGCAATCTTCAAATGATACAAGAATCAGATCCATTAATTTGCTAAATTTACCAACAACAAGTGCAAGTGCACAATAAGCTCTGGCCGTCTTGCACGGAAGTCTTGCATGAAGAAAAAGAACTTGTCTGCTATAAAATTAGTATCCAACTGAAAAATTAACAGTTCTAGGTAAAAAATCGAAATCCTGTTGGGAAAAAAAGTGGACATCTTGATGGGAATCGATCCACGAACCTTCGAACTGCAAGCCCTATGCTTTACCACTGCACTATTGGGTGTTGTATGGTTAACCCGGTGAATTTGTGTACTATATAGAGTAAACATACACAGAGGGTATACGTACGTGAGTAAAATGATCGTTTGAAGTTGCTTCAACAGTGATTACCCCCAGACAGTTGTGAAGGATAATAACATAAGCTGTGGCCGTCTTGCATGGAATGATTGTGCGTACGTACAAGCCGGGGCCGCGGCCGTGGAACACCATACTTTTGGCCAATTTTCATTTCCTCCTTCTGGATACTGCATGTCCAACCACTACATAAAATACCACGTGACTATAACATACTGCACATATCTTGCCTGCGTTTACGACATTTTCATAAACAACTTTACGAATTGTTACAAATAATGTTTATAGTGTATTTACTGACGACGGCATGGCATCTACTCAATTTTGGTTAAAACATTTTGGTAAATGTTTGGAGACCGACCGACCAACCAGCCACGAAGTGATTATGAAGAAGCTCCTGCAAGAGCTTAAAAACACACTGCAATCCATTCCTGACAATGAAATGCATTTGTGACTGATGGTTTACTTTCGACTGTCAAAAAGGTGGAACAGCTGTACGCACATTTGTTGCTGATGGCATATGTTGGTTTATTTCGTAAACTACTTTCATTCTCACCCCTCCGATCTCAACCCATAAACATTTTTGTACCGATAAGAACTTTACCTTTATTGATGGAATATTCACATCTCCATTGTGATGTGTGCTGACTGATACAAACTGGTCTTTGATACCGCTTTCGGGGTCACTGAATTTCCAGGAAAAGTGAATCAGATCCCGCAGAACCTGAACAAGAAGAAATGCAGATTACCTTTTAAACAGAGATTGAAATTGAATAAAAAGACAAGAGCCCAGAATTAACCATCACTGAAAATGTGCAACAATAAACCTAGTTAGTTTTCCTTTTGTGGTTTATTGAAAATTTTATTAAATCTTCTCTGATTGATTCCCAGTTGCTATTTCCTGCGTTGCCAGCATTGCTAATGTTGCTAGCATTGTGACATTGGCAATGAGACTCCGCTACATGGAATACATGGGTTTACGGCTTCTGAGCAACGCCCCTTGGACAAAGGCATGGACAAAATGGGGAACTGCCAACAGAGGGTACAAGATATCTCAATATTGGTAGAGCATCAGAATAGCAATCAGGCAGGTGCAGAATCAAGGCCTGCTGCAGTTTATTTCTTTGTTCAAATTGTGAAAAAAATGGAAAAAAATTCAAAAGGAAGGATAATTTATGTACATTCTTGTGTGCTGGGGAATGGTATTCAGTTTCTATTGCTAAATGTTGTCATAGGGATAAGAATTGTCAAGAATGGAGAGCAAATGCCTCTTCCCCTGATACATATGCTCCTTCTGCTTATTTTCTACTTAATAGTATATTCAGTGTGATGCAAGCACAGGGTTGTCCAAGATGTAGAATAAAACAAAATGGCCGTTTTTAATTGTGAATCATTTTGGTTTCTTACTTGAGTGTTTGTGACAGCCATCCCCCGAGTCACATCCACAGCGGGTGCATCCACTACATCAGGAGGGCTAGAGTCCACACGGAACCCATTAGATGTAGCCTGACTCCACATCCCAAGCCGGTTATAGGCGCGTATAGTGATGTAGATATCAGTGCCAACTGGCATCTGGTCAGCTGCTGATAGGAATATCAGAGCATCTTCTGACAGCTCAATGCGTGAAGAGGGGAGAATATCTTCAGCTCCTGGTGTCGTGCCGGCGTGCCATTCGTAGTGGGAGAGGCCCGAGTGAGGATCATGGAAGCCCCACCAATGGGCTTGCAACTGACGCCTAATGAATCATGCAATACAAGAACACGGAAGACATCATAACAACGCCTCAAGTAATGAAATGTTGACAATTAATGCAAAATTATCTTAATTTGCTCCTTTAGATCCCAAACAGCACACTTCAATTTGAAAAGCTATCACAAAGGGTAGCAAACAACCAGTACAGAATTCTGTTGGTCATAGGTTCAAATCCAACACTTGTCAAAATTCTTTTAAAAAATTCAAATGAACCACTAACCACCTATCCCTGTCCAGAACTGATGGACTTGCAAGGAGACTGCTAACATGGGACTTGATCAATTTCAGTTTAATGAGCCTAAATTAAAGTGGAGCTATCTGGATTAACACGTTTTAATCGTGAATCTTCATTCAACCAAACAACCAGCTGCCGCCCGTCTTGTGGCCTGCATCAGTATCATATCTTGCTTTAAGCACTGTGACTTTCAATGATTTGGGCGGTTTAGAAAGATTTTTGTATTGGTGACTCACCTTGACGATTGGTAGCTGATATCGCCACCCCCAGGACCACCATCATAGACACGCCCTGGCACTGGGGGAGAGTCATCCACCGTGACCCCATCAGAGGTCACTGAGGTACAAAGGTCAGCAGCATTACAGGCCGTCACTGTCACGTAGTAGGTCAGACCTGGCACTAGGTTCAGGTTTTCAGCAAGGACATCTGCGAAGGAATATATGAACATCAATGTTTGGATGGGTTATCATTATTTTCTAGACTACAAAATTCCAAGTCCACTGGAAATTGATATATTGTATAGATGAAATATAATTGAATAGGATGACATTCAAAGGTAGCATAGTGTATGTTTTTATAAGTGCCCTTATTGGGTACTTGCACTAAAGGGTCGAACGGTGCTCTACAAGGTAAAGTCTAAAGAGGGATAAACAATGCAAGTGTCCCATAAACCCTTTCCGTATGTGTGGGTGTACATGTAGACACATTCAAATCGTGGACCTTGAACAATAGAGGACAATAGGGTCCATGATTGACTAAAGGTTCACTTTTAATGTGCAAGTACAAAACATATGGGAGATCTTTCTAAAAATTTAAAGTACAAACAAAAGAGGGGAAGCAGGGGGTCCATGATTGAAGACAAAGAATGTGTGTTTGTGTGCGCAGGTTGTTTACAGTCACGGTTGATCCCCTGCAACATTGCTGACAAGTGGCAAGGCCAGACAAAGCCTCATCAATCTTAATTTAACAAATATTCTTTGAAACTTACCAGTGTCCAATCCCACATGCTGCTCAGTCACAACATCGCTACACCCTGGACACATCCCAGCTCTCCAGGAATAACCAACAATAGCGCTGTGCGGGTCATAAAACCCTTCCCAGAATGCCCTGATCACTCTGCGATCCTCCTGGAAGTCTCGGTCTCTGTGATTGGCCAGGGCATCCGTTGGATTCCCATCAAAGACGTGGCCAGCCAGTGGGGGGCTTGCATCAACTGTGAATGCTCCGTAACTCTTCAGTGTGATCAGGCCTACAGTATTGATGGCCTAAAAAAGGAACAATCATGTAAACCACGGTCTTCGAAAAACCACATTAGTTGTGATCATGAATATACGTTGTAAATCTGTTATCACCCTGGTATTATATCAACACAAACAACACAATTTGTGACAGCTTACCTTCATAGAAATAAAGTATGAGTGACCTTCATGAAGGTGCAAAGGTCGTGAAGGGTCACTGACTCCTATCTCTGTATTCTCTTTGGTAAATGGCATGATGTCTGCATGACCTGGATGTGAACCCACAGCCCACTCATAATATGCTACACCACTCTCCTTGTCTGAGCAGACATTCTTCCAACTAAAAGAGATGACAGTGAAATGGTGTGAAATAATTTCACTGACATCCAAAGTTAGCAGATTAATTTTGGAGTTTTAGAATACCCTGTGAGGGCATTGTTTTCTGTAGATAAGATGGATGAGAGTCTAAAAGCTAAGATTCACTCTACAAATCGTCATCATTTTCAAAAGGGGATGTCATATCAATGTTCAATGTTGAACTTGTTCAATATGTTCAAACACTGTGGCCCACAGCCTCAAGAAAAACCTACATAATTTCTGAATGTTACTATAATGATGCAAGGGGCAGACATCTCATAAACTGTCTTTTGCATTGCCACAAATAGACGTTAAGAATGTATTGCACACACAGAAAGTCATAAAAGTAGGTTATCTGAGATTGATTAATACCTTTACAAAGGGATAGACATCTTTGATTGTTGCTTCCAGTTGCGTGCACACTTTAATGAACCACATAAAATAAGGAGACAAACAGTCAAGCTGTTTTGGGTACATTAATGGATAACCATTTATTCTAAGGCTACTAGGCCAGACCAAATTGAATTAAGAAATTCTACAAGGCCAAACCACATACACTATAGAGTCTATATTGTAACTACATCTAAGAAATAAAAGAGAAATCCTCATAAATTGAATACAAAATTAGACAGTAAAAGGAAAAAGGCAAACTATTACAGAATTTAATTAAAGGGGAGGGAGGGTGGGAAGAAAATTGTTGAAGTCAGTGCTGCTGCGGCTTGAATCAGAATGAAGCTGATCGCACTTGCCTTTACAATATAAACCCATTTCATGACACATAGGGACAATACTAATTATTTAACTGGTTGCTATGCAAAACCATCTGTTTCCATGACTCATGAGGGAGAGTACTTGGGAACAGGATGTGGGGGACCTCCCATGTGGGGGCCATTGACCAACACTGACCATGAGTTGTGGTATGTGTTGTTTGTGCATCAAATGTATACTGTCTCCTGTAGGTCAATAAAACAAAAATCATTCTTGATTTTTTTCCCAAAAAAATGTGTGCCACTTCCTTGTGGCAAAACACAAAGCACATAAGGGGATTGAAGTATGTCAACTTGAGAAGTACGTCAACTTGAGAAGTATGACAAAACCAGAATGTGTTACTCTACCTTGCTGAGATGGAAGTTGTAGACCGGATGAAGCTGCCTCCAATGTCCAGTGAGTGATCAGCACTGAAGACAGGAGGCGACATATCAATGGTGATTGAGTCTGACATGGCGTGTGATGACAGACCAACAAAGTCAGTCGCTGATTGGAAAATTAAACATCAGTCAAAAGAAACGTATAAAGGAAAGAAACACTGGCCAAAAGAAATGATGTGACGTGCCAGTGTATAAAAACCTCATCAGACAGATTTCAATTTTGATTGGTTGTGACCATGATTATGTGACCACAAATATCTAACACTTTCCCAGAAAGACATAAAATCTTATTGACGTCTGTCCTGAAAGACTTGAAACTGACTTGAATCACAAATAAAACACATTAAAATCAAAGCACCTATGCCCATCTTTCCTTCTTTGGAGAAGATGTGTATTGAATGTTTACCTCTAACAGTGGCAAAGTATGTGTGTCCATTCTGCAATCTCAAGTTGTGTACGATAACGCTGTTAGTGATTCCAACACGAGTGAATTCTATCACATCACTGCCACCTCGCATCGAACCTGCGACATATCAATAATATAACGTAACAAAGAAAGAATAAACAAGTTATTTTTACACGGGTAAACAAAAGCCAAGATGAAAGCGGCTTTTGGAAATAATCTGAAAACAGGACGGAGGGTCAAGAGCTACCATGAAAATATCACAATTGGCCTAGGTGGATTTACCGCAGTCTATCTCCACAGCCAGGTGCAACAACCACGCAGCTCTAGTATGTAGTTTCACGTTATTTCATCATTATCCCCAGTCATAAAATACTTCAGTAAGAGCTTATGTGTTTCGTATCATTTTTATCACTTTCATTGGAATTTAAAGGAGGCAAAACTGTTTAAAAAATCGGAGTACTGAATTTTTATCAAAGGTCAAAAGGACAGAAGCACTAGCAGATCTGCACAATGGTACGTAAGATTTACAGTTTCTCAAAAATACAGATATGAAACGATTGTGGATGTATGCTCCTACCGATGGCATATTCATAGTACTTGACCCCTGAGTGATGACTAGCCAAACCATGTTCCTCAATGTCAGTGAAGGACTCCCACTGTAGGACCAACTCTGAGCTGCAACTCTGTCGAAAATACACAACATAGAAAAGTAAGGTTCAAAATAAAGGAATGACAACCACATCTTCCTCAACAATCTATTTCAAAATAACGGACAGTGCTAAAAAATACCCTTCAAAAAAATACATTTATAAGTAGGACTTTGTCAAATATTTGATGATAATGTCAGCAGTGAGAAAACTTTAGTTTTCTAAAAGGTAACCCAGTCAAAAAGTTGGATTTCTCCGACATATACTGGTCGGAAGGTGGATTTCCTTGATTGTAAACAAACAAAAAGGAGGAGAAAAATGTTAATTGTAAACACACAAAAAGGAGGGGAAAAATGTTAACTGAAATTACTTGATAGGTTTGATGCTGGTTCCGTCCAATCCACACAGCGCCAGGGGTCGGTGGGGTCGTATCTATGACAACACCATCGCTACAGCTAGACACAGCAGGCAACAGTTCATTCCAAAGCTCATGCTCTAATGTCACTTCATCAGCATGGATGCAAATGCGATAACACTTGCCATGATGCAGGACCAAACCAGGAACGTTAACAAACTCTTTATCTAAAAGATATATACAAGAATAACAGAACTTTCACTTTTCTCATCAAAGAAAATAGTCATACCGCAGTTAAGATAACTTTGCTTTTCTATTTGACAATATGTCTTGTTTTTCCCAACCGTTTACTTTAAAACCCGATGTTTTCTTGCTCAATAAATCCTGGGTGCACTTTTTATATGAATTCAAGGTTTCACTGATTTCATTTTCAATCTTTCCTACCTGTATTCCCACAGGTGATGCTCCTCGGGTGATCACAAGGAAACTGCAGCCCATCATCCAAGTTTCCAAAGGATCCAGTGTCTTCAATGGCTGCCCAGACGTAGTCCCTGTGGCGTAATGTGGGCCAGACTGCGGATAATGAGGACGTAGATGAGATGTAGTTCTTGTCTGCTTCCGGCCACATAGCATTCTGCTCCATGTTGACTTCGTCTGTTTAAAAGTTACAAAGCAAGAAGTTGTTATCAGGTAACAATAGTCTTCAGGTCTTCCTTTTGGGATATCTACACTTAAGTCTAGTGTTATTGCTAGGTGAAATCGGTGGATTTGTGCTGTCACTCTATCACCCAGGACTGCATTTGAACATCAACCCCATAGAAAATCTCAGACTTTACCTCTCTTTCCAAAAACAATCTTTCATAAATAAGAAACAGTAATCGACGGATGGCACAATTGACTGATAACACAAATCCACTGATTGTGCCTAAATTGTTATCAAACCTGGATAACTTTTGTGATAAATTATATTGTTATACCTCTGTCATGAATACTGTATTTGCATTGGCCCAGAACGATCACGTGTTAAGTTTATAAAAAGTCATGGCACACTCCCTGTGGGATATCACGTACTAAGACTCTGTATGTTCAGTGTGAAACGCTTGTATCGTTGGTACCCACGCTATTTTCACCATGTTTCACACATGAGTGGGAGCAGCTAACTAGCAGACGATCAGCTGTTTCGAGCACGCGACATGCAAGTGAGTTGACGTTCAATTGTCATGATTGTTGTGTTTACTGATGTTTGTTTTCGTGACTTTTACATCAAAATCCAAAGAATCGAAGACAGAGTTATAACAGAACAATTGTTTACTGCTTTGATGTGGGATATGACGTTTCGAACACCCGACGGGTGCCTAACACCCGAGGCGCGGCCGTGGAAAAAAGTCAAGTGGGAACACGGCTTAAGAGGTTTGACAACACTGCATGAGGAAAGTCGGGGGAAACCGCCAAAGTGCGACACGTTAATTAGGGGACTCCACTATACTGTGGATTTCATGTACGTTCAACTTTCCTTATCATTTTCAGCAGTAAATTAGTTATTTATTAACTGCTGCAAGTCTGTACTTTTATAGCATTTCTTCAAAAAAATTGGTTTTGCCCACCCAATCTCTTCTTTTCAGACCAACAGAAATCCCTGGGGGAAGTCAATTTGTACTTACGATCAGCATCAATGACGGTATGAGGGACAATCAGCTTCACGTTATCACAGTCCACAATCTCAGTGCTAGCGATGGATGACAGACCAGCCTTATTGTAGCCTCTCACTGATAACTGCAGACAGACATCTAGGTCTAAGGATCCACTGTGAGATGCTGTAAAGCGTGCCTGTTCAGCAAGACATGCAAGACTTAAGGTTAGGCGGTGAAACATTTTGTCATCACATTTACAAAAATCAATTATCTTTGAACCTTCCTGTCATAAAATAGGGGCCCTTTAAAAACAAAAACAAAACACCTAATCGCCTAAAATGAGGCAAGCTGGTAAGTCTTAAGTCCTAAAAGAAAAACCAGATTTCATCTAAGTACTATTAAAATAATTCCATTTTGTGCACCATGATCTCCTGTGAAAAGATTAATCTCGGATTGCTGCATCAGCTATTATATTCTTTGTCTTCGGGTTCAGTAACTCTCTACCACTCCCTTCTGCTACAAGAACTTACCACGTCCCCAGTCACCACCAAATCTTGGATTCTTGTCCACTGACTCAGCAAGGCTCCATCGCTACCATCCTCAGCAATGCTCCACTCATAGAAATCCATCAGTTCCCCCGGGTCGTTGTGACGGACGTAATCGTGGGCAAAAGGCTGGAAGACAACACGGATCTCCGTCCCGCCTGGCGTAGCTTCAACGTCGCTGACTGTGACCTGACCGACCTCAGGAGGTTGGGATAATACCCAGAATCCATCAGTGACGACGGGTTTGAAGCAAACGTTAACATGGCAAAACTGAACCTGCCAAATAAATTACCAGAATAAAACCAAATGTATTACAATATTTATATTTTTTTCCAACTAAATTTCACACTTCACCTAAATAAAGTTTGTCTTGCCCAACCATATTGTGAAATTTTAAACAACCGCACATATTGCAATGATGTTGCACCAAGGGGGCGTAATATCCCCTATTTTTTTGCAAAGGGGGTGGTGGGCCATTGGATCATCGCCCCATATCTTAGTGGTGAGAACAGCACCCCCTAGTGTCATGTGGTGTCTAGCGCCACCACCCCCCCCCCCCTACCTTCAAATTTCCACGGCTGGGCAATTGCAGATTTATACTCATCGTATACTCATCTCCCGTCCCCCTATCACCGACACGGATTCAAGCCAGTGTGTTTCATCATGACAATTTTTAATTCTTACCTTTGATCTGTAATGACCTCCACCATGCAACCCTAGCCCAGCTCCAACATGTTGGAATGCCATGCCAAGATCTTGATCATCAATCACTGGGATCCATTCCATCATAGTGTTCTCATCATCTGTGGGAAATGAAATATACTTCATTCTGAAAAGGTAACATAACTTACAAAATCAGTGACTATACGTGAAGACAACAAGTAAAAACAGTAGCTTGTAGTGGTTCCTTTGCCCAAATAATAACTAGATAAAAATTCTCGATTTTTTTTTTACAATTTGATTCTTTTAAAACATTACAAACTAAATTACCAATACTATCAATTAAAGCAGTAAGGATTACACGTCTGTAGTAAAACTCAGAGGCAAATGATTTCAGGTTTACCAAAGTATATTTCGATTTCTTGTTCAACTGCCCAGAAGACGCCAGTCACAAAGGGTTGCAGCATCTCAGGGATGGTCCAACGAGCTGAGATGTCTGAGGTAGAAGACTGGTAGGTGATGTCATCCTCACAGGGTTGCTGAGCAGCAGATGAGTGATGGGATAATCCTGGTGGCGTAGACGCTGCAAGAAAGAGACCAAAAAACTGTGAGTAAAGAGGGACGTTGAGGGATGGTCTGCGCTCAGATAAGTAGGGTAAAACTGGTAATTTAGTGATGTCATCCTAACAGGGTGATCAGCAACAGATGAGTGATGAAATATGCTGACGGCACAGACACTGCAAGGAGGAGGCAAGAAACTGTGAGCAAAGAGGGATGTTGGAGGATGGTATAATGAGCTGAGATGAGTGAGGTAAGAATGGCAAGTGACGTCATCCTGACAGGATGGCTCAGCAACAGATGAGTGATGGGACAATCCTGATGGCACAGACACTGCAAGAAGGAGGCAAGAAACTGTGAGTAAAGAGGGATGTTGGAGGATGGTATAATGAGCTGAGATGAGTGAGGTAAGACTGGCAAGTGACGTCATCCTGACAGGATGGCTCAGCAACAGATAAGTAATGAGGTAATCCTGATGGCACAGACACTGCAAGAAGGAGGCCAGAAACTGTGAGTAAAGAGGGATGTGGAGGGATGGTCTAATCCCCCGAGATAAATGGGGTAAGACTGGTAGGTAATGTCATCCTGACAGGATTGATGAACAACAGATAATGGGATAATCCTGATGGCACAGACACTGCAAGAAGGAGGCCAGAAACTTTGAGTAAAGAGGGATGTTGAGGGATGATCTAACGAGCTGTGATAAGTGACGTAGAAGACTAGTGGGTGATGTCATTGTCATCCTGACAGAATGGATCAGCAACAGATGAGTGATGGGATTATCGTGGTTGCACAAACACTTCAAGAAGGAGGCAAGAAACCGTGAGTAAAGAGAGATGTTGAGGTATGGTATAATGAGCTGAGATGAGTGAGGTAAGAATGGCAAGTGACGTCATCCTGACAGGATGGCTCAGCAACAGATGAGTGATGGGACAATCCTGATGGCACAGACACTGCAAGAAGGAGGCAAGAATCTGTGAGTAAAGAGGGATGTGGAGGGATGGTCTAATCCCCCGAGATAAATGGGGTAAGACTGGTAGGTAATGTCATCCTGACAGGATTGATGAACAACAGATAATGGGATAATCCTGATGGCACAGACACTGCAAGAAGGAGAGTGAGATGAGTGACGCAGAAGATTTGTAGGTGCTGTCATTCTGACAGAATGGATCAGCAACTGATGAGTGATGGCATAATCCTGGTGGCACAGACACTTCAAGAAAGAGGCAAGAATCTGTGAAAGAGGGATGTTGAGTGATAATCTAACGAGCTGAGATACGTGACATAGAAGACTAGTAGGTGATGTTATCGTCATCCTGACAGAATCAATCAGCAACAGATGAGTGATGGGATAATCTTGGTGGCACATACACTGCAAGGAGGCAAGATACCGTGAGTAAAGAGATATGTTGAGCAATGGTCTAATGAGCTGAGATGTCTGAGGAAGAAAACTGGTAGGTGATGTCATCCTGACAGGGTTGAACAGCAACAGATGAGTGATAGATAATCCTTGAGGCAAAGACACTGGAAGAAGGAGGCAAGACACTGTCTACAGAGGGTTTTATCACATTTAGATAGTTAATTAACATCAGGGACGTTTAGCAATGGGAAAGGATCAGAGAAAGATGTCCTATCAAGATAAAAGGCCTGAGTAAATATTAGCCAATGCAAGATACTTGATTCCCTTCAGCGAGAATGTCACACCACAGAAATATAAGCCATGGGTCTTACTTTCATCTTGATCGCAGCCGAGTCCATCTTTGATCCCAGCTCCCTCCAGAGCCTGACCCTCCTGAATGACTTTGACACCGTCTGAGGTAACATTGACACTACCAGCTTCAGAGTTAGCACGGATGGTCACATAATAGGTCTAGCAGTAATACAAAACAAATTTCCTCAATTAATACGGAAAACAGAAACAAACACAAAAGGCATAAGGAGATGTCAGTGGCTCTTGCGAAGGTAAATAAACAGAGAGCCCGAAATTTCAAGCTCCATTGTTTCATGAAAATACAATTTAACATTTTCCACTATTTTGAATTCATGTCCCAATTACCATAAGTGGAATGAGATCTAGTCCATCCAGTCGATAGAAGGTTGCATTGCCGACATCAATGAAACCACCGCTGACATCAGAAGCACCTCCTTCTGATCCGATGGCAATCTCATAGTTGATATCGAGATGAGGATGCTCAAAACCAAACCAACGAGCTGAGATGCTTGTGGTGCTCATCTGAACATCAGTGTCTTTGGCCACCTGTTATGGGAGACATTTGTGTTACTGAGACAATAATAGGCTGGCAGTCAGTAACAGGAAATTAATTTAAAATTTTTAACTTTTTTCTTTTCAGGTTGCTATTCATCAATGTGAAATCATTTCACTTGATGCTTTGACTCCATTAATTGGTTTTCAACAACTATTCATTGGAAATTAATTTTAAATTCCTAACATTTTTCTTTTCAGTTTGCTATTCATCAATACGAAATCATTTCATTTGATGCCTTAACTCCACTAACTGGTTTTCAGCAATTATTACAAAAACACACCAGACATATTTTTCAATGGACCCCACCATTTTCCTTACAAAAACCATTTTGGCTTATTTGTTGTTGCTCAACTAATGCTTAATAATTTTCAAAGTACGGAGGAACATATACTTTTTATATCCATTCTTTGAAGATATGATCCAATTACTCAACATAAAATTATTGAAGTGGCTGTAAGCATTCTTTCAGCATTTACTAATGGCAGTTACAAAAGATTTCAAACTAATGGAACAAAAAAGTGAAAACAATATTTACTGTGAATTTGTCATAATTACCCCCAAATCCACATGCACCTCTTCGCCCGGGGGTGCAACATCCAATACAACACCCAGAGATGGCAACTGCACGATGTGTCTATAAACAGATGAGGTCCCCACTGTAGCTAACCCAGCACCATTCTGAGCTCTGACTGACACGTAGTACTCATGATCACCATGGAGATGCCAGTCTAGGTCATCCAATGAGAATGCAGCACATGATGTTCGGGACAAACAAGGACCAATTCGGTAGGCTTTCTCCTTCTGGAAATCAAGAGTTTCAGTGCCACCTGGGCTACTCCCTAGAAGAAAAAACAAAACAAAAAGAATTTATCAAAGAACGTTTTTGAAAAATTCTGAACACAATTCTTTTTTTAATGAAAATGAATAAAACTGCAGTAAACTGCTTAACATGCTTAATGAAAGGCAAAATTACAGTACAGAAAAACCTTCCGTTAATAGGCAACATTCTGTTAAGGTGGTGACCACTGGTCGGCAAGCATAATAGTGTAATGCCATAGAGTGTGCAATGTTCAGGTGTCATCAGCAATGCGTTCGAATGTCCCTTCCAACGATCTCCTACATGTCAATTTTGTTAACCTATACACAAAATATAACCTGGGTACCAGACAAAACCGACCAATTGACAAATAGTCGCTGCCCGGAGGTGGCGTTTTGGTTTAGCCTGGCAACTTGGAGGTCAACGATTGGAGGTCAACTATTCCATCTTACACAAATCAGATGACGCGACGAAAAAGATTTTGTGCACTCCAGGAGTTGCACTATAAATAAAAAACGTTTTTGGGTTCAGCTTGATCAAATTGTCATTTTGAGAGGATCTTTTGTTCCATAAAGGATTATAGGCTGTGATAGGTGAGTTGTTGCTTGTAATTTTAACGGAAATGGAAAATATCAGCACAAAAAAAACGTGACAATAATCACCTAATCTGCATTCTAAGTCATGTAAGTATGGTTATTATTTCCAACTTTCCTGGCAAATCTTCCCATACGTCATGAGCCTAGAAAGCTGGAAATTTCAAGGTAGGGCTGAGTCAATTCCAATAATTGAATATATTGATTTATTCGGTTAAGTGCCGGGACGAATTAGAATAAATCTGCTTTATCATTGATATGTAAATGAGACACGGTAGAGTGGTTAAGGGCGGGTAATTTGAATAGGGATTGGCACAGGAATGTGTGCGTGGTTGGATTGAAGGTAGATCACTTCACGCTTGCGAGCAGCAACGATAACACACAATTTTTAACACAGTTGTTAAGTCTGGTTGTAATTTCATAGTTGTTCAATGTCTCAAACAGTATTTATAAGAGACGAACATTGCTACCCTTGCCTGAAGGAGTTGTCTTGCATAGTTCAGGTGTACGTTTCCATTTTTCCAAATATGGTTTTGGTTTTTCGTATCTGGCAGTCAACACAGCAATGTTAGATGGGGTACAAATCCAGAAACAGCCATAATGTAAATAGACGAGTGGTATCTTGCAATTATTCAATTAAGTATAGCTAAAGGCTCTGAAGCCTAAAGGAAAGTTCTGTAAAGCTTAAAGGTTCAAATGAAATCCACAAGTGGCAATCAAGGTATGGTCGGAGTAGTTTCTGACGGAGGTATAAAACGAGATTTGCAGGTTGGCAGTAAGATTCATAAAGATCAGATCTACTAGATGAGATGCTAGAATTGTTCTAGCGATCTAATGCGTTCAGAACGCAAACAAGTCTGAATAGACTTGCACCATAGTATGCGTGATTTATCCTCAGCGGAAGGTATTTGGTATTGTACAAAACCAAAAAAGAAATTTCTGAAAAGCCTGCTTAATATAATATCAAATGTGGTACGAATATTCAGAAATAACCATAACAATTGTAAAGAGGAGGGACGTCTCAAGGTTAATTCTATTATTGATTACGGAAATATGCTAAATGAAAGGCTTTTACGCCTAAATGATAGACCCTAGTTCTGTAAATATTGTCTCCATCAAGACGTCTTTAAGGTTCAAATTATCAAATGACCGTAATTAAAACACTGTCATACCTGGTAGTCATCACAGCGATGAGATTAAACTTAATATCAAATGGGGTACGAATATTTAGAAATAATCATAACAATTGCAAAAACGAGTGTTGTCTCAGGTATAATTCTGTATAATTGATTACTTAAATGTGTCTATAATGAAAGGCTCTTATATTACGCCTAGATAATAGATGATAGTTCTGTAAATACTATCAAGTCTTTAAAAGTTCGAATTATTGAAAGATGTAATTAAAACATTGGGTCGGCGTACCCGGTACCAAAATACCAAAATCAGAATGATTTGATTGTTTATTGTGTAGAATAGTGTTGAAATGATAAATTCGAATATTCGACCTTCCAATCGATCAAATATTCGAATATTCGGTTTTTGGCCATTCCAAATTCCCTCAAAAGCAAAAATATGCCACACATGTACATTGTACATGTAGTCAACGTACGTGAGCACGTCAGCATGCCATGTATGATTTCTTCACAGGTAAGTCAAGTATTTGACAACAATCAGTTGTTCTTCAGTCGTCAGTAATTTAAAGATTAATAATCACCAGAGAAGCTACAGTGGAGGATTCCTTGTTTGCATGGGGGACGTATTAAGCCGTGAACCCCAAACAAGGCGGGTGGCGTCAGCTATTGTGACTCTCCGACCCTTAACTCGCAAACAGGAACCGGGCATATCTATTACTGGAAGCTTCTTGAAGTCTACAAAACGGTGTACTTCCTAGTCACAGTATTGAAGATAAAAAAAATCACTTTTATAGTAATAACTCGCACTTTTGTCACCAAGAATTGAGGAAATGATTTTATATCATTTTAAATAAACTTACTCTCAACAACCAAAAACTCCAAGAAAAAAACCTATGATATGTAATGTCTTTATTCAATGAAATATGGGTCTTTGAATTGTAAATGCATATTTAAGTTAATGCAAATAATGGGCGTGGGCGCGGCATACACACGCCCCAGCTTGACACGTGCAAAGCAGTATTTCCTTGTTTGCCCACAGGGGATGTATTATAAGCCGAGCTCCGGCGGGCGCATTGGTGGCGGGCGCATTGGTGGCGGGCGCATTGGTGGCGGGCGCATTGGTGGCGGGCGCATTGGTGGCGGGCGCATTGGTGGCGGGCGCATTGGTGGCGGGCGCATTGGTGGCGGGCGCATTGGTGGCGGGCGCATTGGTGGCGGGCGCATTGTTGGCGGGCGCATTAGGCACAGGTGCGCTGACCCGGTTCTTTTGTCTGGCTAAGTGCGTGCTCTGGAGATAACTTTCTAATAGATAGGCCACTAAAAGGTTTGGATATTCCAACTTGCAAAATTTTGATACATTTTGTCTAGCTGTGGTTTTCTATGCTGGGAATCAGGGGTACGGTGCGGTGTGGTGAGTTGACCGCAAAGTCTGTCTGGCCAAATAAATGAGAGCTCTTTTGAGTTTGAAATCCTCTCTGTTGTCTGCCCTTTTTCTTGCGTTTTGCTCGACTTGGAGGACATAAGCCAGAGGTTCTTGCTATTATTACTGAAAGTATAATTGCTGAACTAGTTTTTGAAGTGTTTATGTATGTTTTATTTGTGCAAATATTGGGTGCAATTAGCAGACTAACCCAGCGAACAAAGCTGACGGACAGCGAACGAAAATGTGTTCGATAAAAGGGTGCTCTGATCAGTTGAGAGAACTAGATTATTTTGTACATGTACATGTATATAATTACGGAGGCATTGAGGCGAACATCTAACAGCCATAATAAATTTACCGCTAAAAGTAAACAAGAAATTCTTTTAGAAAAATCCCAGACTCAGTAACGTAAATGAACCAAGGTTTTTAAAACGTTTTAATGTAATGTTGGGGTTCATGACAAGTTTTCTACAACACCGCCACGTGCTGTGGGCAGCATACTGCGTGCAAGGCGATTCCTTATAACCACGTGCATTCGACACGATTGAACAGGCGATGGAAAACTTTGGGGGGAATTGGCTTCGCTGTATCAGTGTAATGTACCGCTTCTTGTGCGACCCTGTGCGAGCAGTACGTCCTCAAAATAAGTACATGAAAACGGAAAATACAAAGGCCCACACAGAAAAAAGAAATCAAGTTCTTTGCATGAGATTGCAGAGGTCTTCTACATCGATGTTGGCATGCCATTTTCGCGATGTCAATAGCCGACCCAGTAAGCCCCTCCCAGCGCACGTGGGCAAATTAACACGTGCTCCTCTCCAATGCCACGCTGCATTTTCCTATGCTGCACACATGCACATGTAACACCAACGCGCGGGGAAACTTGCCAGGACCGCATCGGGGAAAACAGCGGCGGTTTTCTTTTGAAAATAGGAATTGTAAATAGGACAACAAACAAAAATATGGACAACGGAAATGTTACTACTCATGCTAGAAGTTTGATATGAAAAGGTGTCAGGAAGTGTTTTGTGAAGACATGAAAGACACAATGTCTTGTTTATCTTGTCGGAAGCATCAGCGATTGGTGTTGCAGTCCGGCGTTAAAAAAATGGGTTGGCTTTACTGCAAGCACTCCCAAAGCAGAAGTAATATATGTATGGCATTATTGCTTGGCATATATACAAGCTACTTTTATGGGGGTTTTTGGCAGCAACTTGAAACTTAACTTTGAGAATACACTTTTGTTGTTAAAAAAAGTTTTTTCCACCTTTTTATTTCATTGCATATCACCACCGAATATTCTTATTCGAAAATAAATATTAGAATATTTGATTATCGATCGAATATTCGAATATTCAAATATTCGGCACAGCCCTATTTCAAGGTAGGTCAGAAAATTTGTATATTTGAAGTATATTTGGGAACTTTTGGGATTTTTAGGAACTTTGCGTAAAGTTTTCGAAATTTTTATCCATTCCCTTCAGATTTGGCTGATCGAGATTTCACTGTATACATGTATATGAAAGTTGCTCGTGACTCAGACTCCGACTTGACCTTTGTGTCTCATGACTCGGATTCGACCTGCATGACTCGGGACTCGGACTCGGGAGAGGTGACTCGGACTCGGACTCGATGTTTTGTGACTCAAATACAAGTCTGGAAATGCATGGGTGGGGTACTTTGGGCCAATTACCAACACTTTCTTAGGTTTAAGTTACTCACTGATGGTAACTTGGTATCTCAGGCTGGTGTGCTCATCATCAATGAAACCAAGTACATCTTCCCATTCAGCGATAAAATATTCATCTTCCACATGGACAAAGACACACCTAACAAACATGAGTGGGGCACTATGGACACCATCTATGTTTGACTGACTCACCAATGGCAACTTGGTATCTCAGGCTGGTATCCTCATCATCAATGAAGCCATCATCTCCCCATGCAGCAATCAAGTAATCATCCTCCACATGGACAGAGACACGCCCAACAAACATGGGCGGAGTGGTATCCACTACTATTGGACCAACCACCTGCAACAGGCAAAATAACCAAATGTGACAAAGTTTATGTTAATGCATACTTTCAAATGCTTCTTTTAAAACTGTTAAAAACTGTTCCTTGCTGTTTCTTTGGCGAGCCAATATGTTGCTCCTTCCCTCTCAACACTCAATTGGGTTCCGAGTCACACATAGCCATAGTACATTGAACAATTAGGCATTTACAGTGCATGCTGTCCAAGTCTAGAAGCTTTTGGGGGTTTTATTTAGACAAGGATAATTCTTTACACTTCATCTACCTTCCATATGTGTGTACTTGCCATCCACAGCCGAGTAATTCAGCCTATGGCTAATTCTCATCAACAGTCAGTCCATTACATACCTTGAAGGTAGATAGCCGAGCCTTGTTGATGGCCTTCAGAACCAGAAAGAACACAGCTCCCTGGCTGATATGTGGATGGTACATCACAAAGTGATCATGACCTGATGTTGACATGAAGGTCACCAGGTCAGGGGTCGGGTTTGAGGGGTCACTGCTCAGACCTATCTCATAGTCATAGATGGAGCTCTCTGTATCGATTCCTCCAGTCCATGAGATGGTCAACTGTCATTGACAACATGACATTAATACCATCCACAATTACTACATCTAATAATGGTTTTTGTTCTCAAATCTCTTTCACAGTACTACAGTATACTGTTTTTATGGAGTATATTTACATAAGCCGCATCCTCATGTATGTAAAATGTTACAAGAGAGAGCGTCAACACCACCTTCATTGTGAACTGTCTTCATCCAGATATCTGAGAATTGCTTTCCACCTTGGGACAATGGGTCGAATACATAAAAACTGGCAATGGCTTATGAGAAGAAGTACCGAGCAAAAGCAAAAGCTTATCAGGCAGAAGCAAAAGTAAAAGCAATTGCTTAAAAACATATACATAACCTTTTGCTTTGACTAACAGCTTTTTCTTAAGCTTGCATAGCAAATGCATAAGTTCTGAACAATAGCGCTCTTCGTCCAGATGTGCGCATACGGCGTGAATAATGTAAAAGCTTTTTAGGGACGCATGTTTTGCTTTTTATTCCCACACACCAAGTAGCAAAGAAAAGAAAGTGAGGGCACTTCTTGATGTCAAAGCATCAATTGCTACAAATACTGGAGGAAAACATGGATGAGAAAAAAATATTGAAGAGAAGGTAGCCAACATGAAAACACAGGTCAAAGAAAACAGATGCAAAAAATGATGATAACAGTTGATCTTGTCTGATAAGCAAGAGCAAAACCTACCGTGTGGGAAACTTGAAACACTACAAGCAAATGCTTAATAGCAAAAGCAAAAGCTTGTTTTTATGTATCCATTTTTAAGCAATTGCTAATCTGGGAAGTATTTGCTTGCAAGAAACAAGCTGTTACTTTTGCTTAACAGTACAAGCATTTACTTGTCAGCAATTGCTTATTTTTATGTATAAAAATGTAAGCAAAAGCCTAGAAAAAGCAATTGCTAGTTTTTATGTATTCGGCCCATTGTCTCTGAGCTGCTTAATTTGGGCCCTGCTGAGCAGATCATATATACGTACATGTTTGTCTATCGGAAGGAAGAACTTCTGCTCAATGGGTGAAATCCAGACACAGTCTTGGTCTCCTTGTAGTATTGCTGAAGAGTCATTGCTACCAGCTATCTCAGGATAAACTGACAAATCATCTACCACAGCGGCCATGGAACTGTGCGCAAGAAAATCCAAACTCACGTGAATACACAAGGCTTTCAAGTATACTTATCAAATATAAGATTTCATCACCAAACTTTGCATAGGTACAAATCAGAAGGTTGGATAGGGGAAAATTGCATTAAAATGTAGTGCCTAAGGACATAAGCATCATTATCTTGAACCTGATTTGGTAGATGACTTAGTAAAGGTCAGTGTCAAGAAGCATGAGTCTTATCAGAATGCTCAACTGCTCCAGTCTCATGTGCCTACCTGCAGTCTCTGGACGCATTCATTAGCTCCATCTTCCTGCGATGCTCATTGATGAACCACACCCGACCCTCAGCATCCTTGGCCAGACCAGGCCACATCCGAGCATAGCTGATAGCAATCTGGGTCAGCTCTGGAGGGCTGGTATCGATGACAACACCGTCAGAACAGACAGCTGCTGAGGGTTCCAGGGCACGGTTGTAAGCGATGACAGTGATGTAGTACTGGCCAGGCGAGGGGGCTGTCCAACTGGCATGCGTGGCGGTTGTCTTTGTCATCTTAAGAAATGATGGAATTCTAATAATTGGTGTTGCTGAAGTGGAGGACTGACTTGTAAAGTTATGTCAAAGCAGTGTGAAGGATTACAATTTGGAAGTCACAGCAATGTGAATCACAATGGGATATTAAAGATTTGAGTATTGCTTATATCAAGGACAAACCACCAACCCACATGCAACTTACATCATTCATGGCACTGCCGACTGTTGTATAGCCGGTCCTGCAGGAGTCATCAAACAGATACTGATAGAACTTGACCCCACTCTCCTTGTCAAAGAACCCCTCCCAATGAGCCGAGAGGTCACTGCCCTCCTGATAGTCTACCTCATTGGACCCAGGTATCCCATCATGCACCACACCAGCTTGAGGAGCAGAGGAATCCACCGTTATCTGTGATTCATCAGCAACAAGGATTCTTGGTCAAGTTGATTGTTTGGATTGCAAAGTAAAGCGGACGAAACCTTTGTTAACAGGAACGGAGTGCCTATGTCTCTTTCGTGAGTGATTGGGCAAGACTCAAATGCTGCTGTGGGGGATCGCCACACTTCCTCCACATCGAGTCTGTTACCTTCTCAGCATTGAATAATGCCAGTACTCAATTAACACCTGGGTTGAGAGGAGTAATATAGGTAAAGTGCCTTACTCAAGGGCACAACACGCATGGCCACGGTGGGGCTCAAACCCACAACCTCACGATTATGAATCCTGTGCTCAACCGCTAGACCACACGTACCCATGATGTTTGGATTGCATTATTCGATGAGATCACTCACTTTCAATTTTCTTTAACATTTTAAAGATCTTTCAATTTAATCATTCTGAGTGTCATTTTTAAATCATTGTAAGGGCAATTCAATGTTTTAAATACAAGTCCTAGTGATTTCATCCAATGTTAGAATGTATTACAGCATTTTAATGTTTAACCGGACAAGCAAACAACAGATGTCCATATTAACCAGGTTTCAGATACGTTGTGTGGATGTGCCCACGTCCACACCCACGTCCATACATGCCCACGTCCACACAGTGTTTCCTCCTCTCTGGAAAACAGCTTTAGAGGCATTTGGGGTTAGGTTTACCATCGCAAAATGAAGAAAAACATTTAAGGGAATCATAGAAAAATATTTGGTTTGAGACAGTTTTCACAATTAGAGTAAAAAGTTTTTCTTAACTACACGAAAACAAAGGAATATCCACACTAGGTATGTAAGGTTAACATGTCTGAACCACAGCAATTTCTGTTTGTATCATTACGTGAAACTCCCATTTGCCAAAACCCCTGAACTGTACCTACCGATTTCACTGCGACTCTTATCAGCTGTTATCAGTAAAGTAATTATAAGATAAACACTTACCCTGGCACCCACTTCCCCAGGGCCAGTGACCATGAGCTGGTGGTGTCAAATAACGGAAACCTTGAAGAGCATGGCTGAAGTCGGACTGTTTCTTATTTGATATCTCGAGATATATTTGATCGATTTTTATGATTCAAAGTTGCTCACATAATAACTTTTGACACTTTTCCAAATACTTTACATTATAAACAAGAACCTAGTAGACTTTGGTAGATATTTTTTGTCAGTAAGCTCACAGGCAGAGGCACCATACACCACCTGTTCACGGCTCGTTAACTCTTGATCAGATAAGAGAGATCGCGTTGAAAGCTGCTGAATCTGAAATCGGTAGGTACGACCCGAGTTTGTCGTAGGCAAACTCGGGTCTAGCTGAAATGGGAGATTCACGTAATGTATACATTGTATATAAATAGCAATAATAAAAAAATAATAATAATTAATTACAATAATCTTTTGGAATTTCTGGATTTAAAAAAAAAATTTTCATACCTTGATTGTCCGAGTAGTAACTAGTCTTGCTTGGTTGGTCACCGTCAGGGTGATGTAGTAATCATAGTCATGGGTACCAATGTGCATTGTTGGGTGGAAACCATAGTCTATTGCATAACAATCACCGATTGGGACACACATACAGCTGACGGGATCACAATCCTCAGTGTCCTGTGTAAAAAAGCAAATAATAACAGCAAACTTTCCTGCGCCAAGTCATCATTTTACAGTGTTGTAGTACTCGTACTCAGTATTCATATTCGAGTACTACTGGAGTACTTTTTCAGTAGTACTCGTACTCGAATGTCGAAGTACTCGTACTCGCAATGACCGTATTCGTACTCGGGCAGCAAAGTACTCGCACTCGAAATTTCAAAATTGTACTTGACCGTCAAAGTACTCAAACTCGAATAAAAGTACTCGGGGGGGGGGGGGGGGGAGGAAATGGTACAGCTCGACTTATCACAGGCTTATTTTATCAGTTTGAAATGGTTGATTGGCTTGTGGAGAAATCGAAGTTCATGATTTTTCTCTGTGCATGTCCGGACAAACACATTCAACAGCTAGCCATGAGTGGGTCTGTATATTGGTCTGACTGGGCCTGGGCCAATTATCAGAAATACAAGTACTCATACTCGTACTCGTACTCGGAAGTACAAGTACTCGTACTCGGAGACATGTCCTTGTACTCGGAGGTACAAGTACTCGTACTCGTTCTTGTACTCGGCAACCTAAGTACTTGGCAGTACTCGGTACTCGGAAAAAAGTACTCGACTACAACATTGTCATTTTACAATTGCAAATGGAATATGAGCCTGACACAAAATACAACACTATAATGTTAACCAACTGTAAAGTTTTACGTTTAAAAAATACCATGTTGATTTTCTTGGCCTTCAAATTCTGGCTGCCATGTGTCATATCTGTGCCAGTGTGGTTGTCAAAGAGAAGCCACTCGATGGTTCGTATACCACTGTGAATGTCATATGTCCTGAATTCAACACTGTGGAAAAATGAAAAGAAAATAGCCCTCAGAAAAAAATGAGGTTCTGGTTTATTTTTAATAAGGTGCTTTTCTATGCAACCTATATAGGTAACTAGGGTCCCTCATACCTACATGGCTCCTATCAGAAGGTTCACATGTGAAAAAAGGGTCCAATCATTTCAACTCAGGAATATTAGAAAACGTATTGCTTCATTTGCATCGGCTCATCAAGGAAAATTTGAAAGCTTGTAAATCTAAGCAGAGCTGTGCATATATTTTTAAACATTTTTCGGGCGTAATTTTTTTCCGTATGTTGTTAGGTATAGCTTTATCAATCACAGATCATCTTAGCATCACCTAATGAATAACATAGAATTCTTACCTCATCTTATCCAGATCCTCTGAATTATGAACGGCTAGATTCACCTCCCCGTCCCGTACCAGCCAGAAGTCTTCAATCACAGGCGGGGATGAATCAGCATGAACCAACACACTGTCCCTCACAAAGTGACCAGCCAAATCCCTGGCCTCCACCCAGAACCGAATGGAATCACCATCCACTAGGGTCAGGTCATAGGTCGCCTGTGTGTCTGTGCCTTCACTACTCCAGTGGTCCGAGTTGTTGTCACTCACTTTGACAGTGGTTCTGCCACCGCTGTGGTCGATGTCATGTACGACGCGGAATTCTGTCACACCGAGGTAGTTAGGGATGGCTGCACGGCCACGTTTCCCAAAGTTCTGGTCATAATCTAGGAAAATGTAGTCAGGTGTAGCATTTTTTACTGCATAAGCTAGAAGCCCTCGAATACTATAAGCAGGAACACCACCCCCACTCAACCTCCTCAAGTGCAACAGGAGGTGACCAAAAAAAACAGACAAGGGCAAGATTTGAACCAGCAACTTCTAGAAAACCTCAGCATCACATTATATGATGATGAGCTACTGTACTGTGTCATGTATGTTTCTCAATTTGGGCAATTCACAATGCAGTGCGCCACCAAGAGTTTGCCATGGAGAGTCCTTTTTTTCAAATTTATGGTCAACAAAACACATCTCATTAGAATAAATGCCAGCAGACAACTTGAATTAAATTGTTATAGATTGGGATATGGCAATCTGCCGTCTAACAAACAAACATCACATTGATATAAAAAGAAAAGAAAATAACAAACAGATACTCGAATCATACGCTTACGAAAATACAGACCGGAAAAACAAACAATTTCAAATGTCCCGTGCTGCGAATTTTCGAGCATCTCCCACAATGCACGGGGAAAAATAAACTCTCCATGAAAAACTCTTGGTGGCACACTGCATTAATTGTGAATCGCCCGAATTGGCAAACAACTTGGTTCAATTAAATAAACAAAATTACTAAATTACCTTGTCATCATCAGTTTCCCTCACCATTTCAATGATTAATATTTCAAAAATGTCAAGTACAATTTCTACGTTTACCAACTACCATGAAGCTAAATGTGATAAACTCACTAGAATCGATGGTACCAGCAACATAGGAGCCAATTGGTTTCAACAATCCTTGGTTGTGATGAGGTGCATTCATAAATCGGTTCGTCCAATCAAGCTGCACGGATGTCATCCCTCCGCTTGAGTCTAGACTGGTCATCCTCACGTAGTTGGTTTCTGCAGTCGCGGAGACAACTCGCAGAGAGGAATCATCCTGAAGGGTGACATCGTGTGGATCGTCATCAAAGAACACAAAGCGTCTGCTGAGTCTGACATTGCCCGCATTGTCAAAAACACTCAGGACGATGGAGTACACACCTGTACAGATGTAGAGGAAAAGATACAGCTCGTCTTATATTCTTCTTTACAAGGTGTATTGAAAGTGTTGGAAATTGAACAGAACAAATTTATAAATTTGGACTTGTTTTGACTTTTGGATTGAAAAGTTTTTATTTTTTGAACTAAAAGGTATTTATGAATGAATGGTTCGGCTAGGGTAATTATCAGCATCCAAACTCCAAGCTATAAACATAGTGTTTAAAACTGGCCAAGCACACAACATTCTCTTATTTATAACACGTTTTTTGAAAGAGGCTTAATGAAAAATAGCCCTTCCAAATGCAATACATGGTCTAGGTTGTGAAAAAAAGTACAAGGTACATTTTGAAACATAAAAATTAACAAGATTTGCTCAAATGAACTTGAATTTTATTATTTGTCAAGGATTTGGAAAATATGATAGCAAGGTAGCAAAATTTAACGCTTGATTTGCAAAAAGACTTAACGTACCAACACGGGGCAAAGTGATGCTCTGACTAGAGTGGGTCACTTCACTAAAAACGGCTGCACTGCGAAAGTCTTCCGTCATCTGATTGCCATGGCTACCAGATAGCTGACGTACTTGCAGCTCGTACTCCTTGATGCCAGCAAGACTGTCTGCCCAGCCTTGCCAGGTGACAATTATCTCTGCCTGTGAAGAATATGAAACCAAACATTTATTCATTAATGCCTAAGACAGTTTACCCATTCCCATTGGTCAAGAGCCTGTCACGTGGCCGGTCTTAAAGATAGTTGGGTGGGAAGACGGGGGTATCGTGCACCCTTGGAAATCAACTTCTAATCAACATCTCTCTAGATCGGAAAAACGTTCTTGGTTTTTCCAGCATCTTCAAGCCCAAAACATGAAACAAGTCAGTTTAACAATATCTGCTATAACATTCTAATCCCTAAAATCCACTTACTACTGAAAATTGCAGCAAGAGCAAATGTTGTACATTCCCTTTCAGTGTCTTGCCCAAGGGCATAAACACCATGTTCCTAGCTGGCAGGGTATGAACCCACGTACCATTGTACAAAAACACCGTAACCACTGGAACTTAGCATTCTACATTTGAATGGTAACTTACAAAGTAACATGCTAATAGAGATTATAACACCTCACCCACAGATTCTGTGTCTTGATTGGCCGAGAGCAAGTCACATGATACTTTTTATTTTTGCTATCTTTCTGTGCACGGCCAAAAGTACTATACCCGTAGCAACCAAAGTACATTACCATTAGCAACCAAAGTACTATTTCCACGGCACGGTGTTTGTGTGCAAATACATGCTGGTCTGCGCGTTGCGCGTTTTGTTCCAAAGAGAGCGTACGTGCCAAAGGGGAGGTTTGGAAGAGTGAAATACATTTTCCTCCTATTTTGTATTGAAATTGAAGTTTATTTCAACTGTGTTCAGATTTAAATAATTTAAAATATTAAAACCAAGCAGAATCTGTGAGTGAAGTGTTATAAAACAAATATTGAATGCTTTATCGCGTGGTGAAGTAAAACTAGCCTGCCTCGGTGATCCATGGAGCATTCTATTTTCCCTCAGCTTCGCCTCGGGAAAATAGAATGTCCATGGATCACCTCGGGTGGCTAGTTTTACTACACCACTCGAAGCATTCAATATTTGTATACTGGAAAAGAGCACTCTTTGGAAACTAAAGTTATAGAATGACCCATATACATCAATATATATCCAATTGTATTTTCCTATTTTCAAGAGCAATTTTATGTTTACAATAAAAACCATGATCAAAATTCATAAGGCATATGCTCAGTGGATTGTGGGTTTGTGTGGTCCAGCGGTGGAGCACAGGATTCATAATCGTGAGGTTGTTGGTTCGAGCCACGCCGTGGCCATGAGTGTTGTGCCCTTGATGAGTATAAGGCGCTTTACCTCAATTACTCCTCTCAACCCAGGTGTTAATTGGTACCGGCATTATTTAATGCTGGGAAGGCAACAAACTCGCTGTGGAGGAGGTGTGGCAATCCCCTCCCCCCCCCCCCACAGCGGCATACGAGTCTGGCCCAATCGCTAACGAAAGAGAGATGGGCACTCCGTTCCTCTTAACACAGGTTCGTCCACTTTACTTTAGTGGATTATGTACTTGAGCGAAGACATTGAAGCTGGATTTGACCCCTGATCTGCTGAACACCATATGTGGCTGGCGCTCGACCAAAAGAGGCCTAAGACCTAATGACGTCACGCTTTGTTTACGTCGTGCGCTTTCCTATGAGAACGAGGTGGTGACAATTGGCTGGCGTCCCCACCTGGCTCCCATAGAATAGCGCACATGTAAACAAAGCGTGACATCATTAGGTCTCAGGACTATTGAGCTATCAGCCCTAGGTTGGCAGTCTCCCAGTTCAAATCTTTGAGTCTTTGATCAAAGGTGCTTAGTTTAGATAAGGTGTGGAGCGCTGTGGTTTAATGGTTATGGTGGTCGACTCACGTGCCGTTGTACGTGGGTTCGAACCCTGGCTGGGAACATGGTGCTTGTGTTCTTGGTAAAGACACTTTACTACAATAGCCTCACTCCACCCATGATATTTGTGGTACCTGTCAAGGTAGAGACCAGAATGTGTTGATCTCAAGCTGCTGCACAAAGTGGTCTCATGGCCTGATGAACAGTGGTAATAATTAGTGTGAAGCACACTTTGAGACCTTTGGTATAAGGCGCTATATAAGCACCATATTAGTATTACATTATTATTATGCCATAAACCCATCATGCCATTTATCCATTCAGGATTTAGATTATGTTTGGTCCACACTAACCTGTGATGTAACATCATTCCCTGCATACAGCATAGTGGTTCTACATCCACTGCCAACATCCACACAGTGGTAGGGGTCATCGAAGTCAAAGGTGAAAGTTGAATAGCCGGAGGTTGTCCTGCCATTGTAGTGTCGTGTGATGATGCTGTTTGAATGGTCCCTGTCATAGAGTTTCATGTACCCGCCACTTGTGGAATATACATCATACCTCAGGCTGTAGTATACAAATGAAGAAATATAAACAAACACACATACTTTAGACATGAAAATATAACAATCTGAAGAAAACAGCTGATAGACCTTTATCATGCTGCCACCATTTCAGTCATGTTCCCTGTATCCAATAACAGTACAGAATAATAATGTCTTTGTGGAAAAAGGAACCAGGCTATGTTTCCTTCCAGCCTCGCTTTGGTTACATTGATCTGAATGGGGGAAAAATCAAATGGCTGCAACATGATAATGGTCTATTGAAACTGATTCTATATACCACTGCAATGTTGTCATTTGAACCATGGAGCAAGGAACTGAAGGAGTCAGAACTCCCCTACTTCAAAGTGATTATGATCGTCACTGCGCTCGAAAGCAACAATAGAAAGTACCTGGCGGCCAGCTTATTCAGTTGCTCACTACCCTATTGAGATCCGTGCTCACTAATGCTAGAAGAAAGAGTCTGCATTGCGTTGTGGATAGCACCATGGTATTTTACGCAGGCGCACTTGTCATACTCCAAAATTGAATGATTTTGAAAGTGTTTGTTCAGAGTTGGCTAAAGACTGGCCCACAATGTGGACAACATAACTGAAACAATCATTTCATGACAAACAAAATATGCTCTATATCCCTTCCGTCGGAAACCTTAGGAAATTTCCCAAAATGTCATATTTCATGAATGATGTATTGCCAATAAAAAAATCAAAAAGACATGATAACTTATCGGGAAAAAAATCGATTTATCTTCAAATAACAGGAACAGATAGCGCATTCAAGGGCCAACAACTGCACATCGAGAACTTGATTTCATTACTCACATCTAACAACTGCGCAGTTGTGAAAATCTAAAAACGTGATTATAGGGAGGTTGTTGGTTACTAAATGAAAAGGCGGTGACGATCATCGTGTTCAAAGGCCGCTTGCAGTCTCGCAATGAATGGTCCAGGATTGCGGTCACAGTGCTGTAGCTACGGACATTCCCGAGGGATTGGAATGTTAATGGTCAAAAATGTAAATCGCCGAAGAGTTCTAACTCCTATTCCTTGCTCAATGTTTGAACAGAGTAATTCTTGCATATTCTGAAACAATCTAAACTGTCCTAATCATGTATAATATCTTTCTGAACAAAATTATTTCTACAGGCTGGAGAATTTGATAATAATGCAACTGATAAACCTGTATGAATTAAAGCATTACAAAAATGTGTTTCGAATTTTGCAGCTAACGAAATTTGCTGAGTCCTTACACTCAAATTATCAAAAAAAAATGGATTTTTCAAGATACATTGTATTCTCTTACCCCAACGATCTGTCCTAAACCTCTTTACTTCAAAGGTTATTTTCATGCAACTTTTTATCTAAAACATGTGAATGTTGCTCTAAACATCACAGCACAGGCAAAAAGTTGTTATCATTAAGTAAAATGTTTGGCATTCTGATCACACTACGTGTTTCTAATGGGCTTACACATCTCCTGTAGCTGGTGTCCAGGAGTTGTAGTTCAAGTTGAATGTCACTTGACAGGATACCAGGTATGTTGCCGGATTGTTTTGATTGAAAGAATTACGAGTTGTCGATGTTGTACAAGCCTGCGAGCCCACTGAATATATCATACGGTAACCCCCTAATGCATGAAAAAAACACAAAGGGCAAAAAACTAATATTGATTTACATCACCCTGAAGCAAATTCATCTATGAATAGGTTAACTGTGGCACCCCTGCTAAATGCATCAGATTCAAACCAGCCAACCGATCCCATCAGCTCGGTGGTCGAGTGGTAAGACATCTGCACTACAAAGCAGGAGGTCGTGGGTTCGAGTCCCATCCGAGTGATTTTTTCCAACTTTCACTCGGGAGGTAACACATTTGAATATACAGTGTTTATACGTAGGTGAATGGCAAAAACCTAATATTGATTTTTATACAACACCTGAATAAATCCCCGTCATCTGATTGGTGGATCATTGATGACATGTTTTTGAATTATTCGTCCCAACGCACAGCGCGCGCGGCGCGCAGCGCACCGCACAGTGCAATGGAAGTTTTATTGCATGTTGAATAGAACTTCCATTGCACGGTGTCACCGCTGCTGGCAGTGGCGCTGTTTTAAATCGAGATTACTTGAATATGATGGTTCTCAACCTGTTGAACAGTTTGCATAAATTAAATATGATGAACTTCCTTGTCAAACTTTCAAACAGTTTTTAACCTGAATAAATTGGCTATTAAAAGTCAACCAATCAGATGACAAGGATTTATTCAGGTGTTATATAAAAAAAATAATGAATATTTCACGTTCGTGCAATAGAAAGGATAATTTCATTCGGTGACAGATGAAATGTTCCATTCCACTTGGCTTCGCCTCGTGGAATGGAACATTTCATCTGTCACCTCATGAAATTATTCTTACCATTGCACTCACAAACATTCATTATTTGTATAAAATCACAATATTATTTTCTGGTATTGATTAAAGATAAAATATTAACCTTATTAAAATGTGAAGGTTGTACAAAATATGATTTCCGTGTGGCCTAAACAATAGCTTGTAAATTTATTCATATACATGTAGGAATGTTTGGTTCAAAAACATAACTAAAGAAAGACTGAAGGGAATACGAAGAGTACATGCCTGCCCTGCCCCCCCCCCCCCCCCCCCCCCGATTAAGAGAAGAAAACCTTTATTGTCTATTTGAAGCTGACCATGATCAGTACCCATTCATTCCACCCCCTCCAACAAATACCCTACTGCAAAACTGGACCCTAGATATGCCACTTTGTTGACTCTGCAAATATGGGGAGTAATGAGTCAAAAGAAGGCACATGTACTTAATGGGTGTCTCTGGGTGTGTCGCTTTCGATCTGAATCGGATTTTTAAGCTCTGGCAACAGAGCTTCTACCAGTCACTCGGGTTTCGGTTGGTCGGTCCCCCCAAAAAGTGACCAAAAACGAACCCCCAAACTCACCCACAAACCTGTAAGTACCAAACTGTAACTGTCCAAAACAGCAAACAAAAGACATTAAATACTTGCCGAAACTTTTGGGTAACAATTTGTTACATTATATTGTTTATGAACTTTTCTGATTAGAGGCAAGATACTTGTGGTAATGTTATAGTCACATGGTATTTTTGTGCGCTTCGAACTTCGAAAATTTTAAAGGGGGCTTCTACCTGTGACTATACATCACCCCTGCCTCTGGCCCTGTGTCAGTTTAATGAGTCTCCAGGGGATATAGACCTTTGCATTATGAAGGTTACTATTATTTTGCATTGTGACTTTCAACAAAATGGGAATTAAATCCTCATTTCAAAAAGCGCAATCAGGACCAAGTGAGTAATTGTATCAATTCATGCAAGACTTTCATGCAAGAGGGCCAGAGCTTATTGTGCTCTCGCACTTGTTTGATGGAGAATTGTAACTTGACTTACGATTCACAGCGGCTGTCACTCTAGCCTCTACAACACCAAGCCCAATGCTTTGGATGTATGGATGTCCACCACCACTAGGGTCTGGTAGTCCTGTAGGCTGGTATGAACTTATCCAGTTGGTTCTGATGTTTGTAAAGTTGTGTACGTTGGTGTAGACAGTGTCTGTACTGCCCTGGACTCTGGGTGACTCCAGAGTTGTTGTCCCTATGGCTAGAGTGGCACGGTGCTCTGATAGGTCTGGTGCTTGACTGCTGCCCACTGCAAGACAAGAGTTAGGCTGTGGCTATGGCTATATGTAGCAATAATGCAAGGGTCTAGGGGAAGTGGATTCAGCTGCTTGCCATAGGCACCTGCATGATTGATAGGTCTGGTGCTTGACAGCTGCCCACTGCAAGACAAGATTAAGGCTATGGCTATGGCTATATGTAGCAATAATGCAGGGGTCTATGGGAAGTGGATTCAGCTGCTTGCCATAGGCCATGTAGGCACCTGTATGATTGATAGGTCTGGTGCTTATGACTACTGCCCACGACAAGACAAGATTTAGGCTGTGGCTATGGCAATAATGTAGGGGTCTCCAGTCTACAATGGTCTAGGGTAAGTGGATTCAGCTGCTTGCCATAGGCACCTGTATGATTGGTACTGGTGCTTATGACTACTGCCCACGACAAGACAAGATTAAGGCTGTGGCTATGGCTACATGTAGCAATAATGCAGGGGTCTATGGGAAGTGGATTCAGCTGCTTGCCATGTAGGCACAGTATCACTGAAAGGGCTGGTGCTTGACCAGTGCAAGTATTTAACGCAGATGATAATGCAATGGGATCCGTTTACATCAAGTAAGGGAGAATGGGAGAGTGCCAAAACTGGTTGCAATGCCAATGACAAACTAGCCTTTAGTCAAGTCCCAAGAGCTTACCCGGTCACGTGACGCACCCCGGATGCTGACACGTAAAAAGACTAGGACGAGCGGCGTAGCCGCGAGGGCCTTTACCATCTCGTGGAGAACGCTTATGTTTTTCTTTACATTTGTCTACCGATTTTGTAGACATGCATAATGCATTACCCATTGTGAATTGACCAATGAAAATGCAGAATAGCTAAGGTAAATCAGCCGTCGTCTGGCGCCAGACGGCACGCGCGCCATGGCGCTGGTGCTGTTGCTGGTAACCGCAAACCACCGTTAGATGATTGGTTTATATTGCTTGATTTTTATTACGTGAATAAATATATTACGTGAATAAATGAATAAGTGATTAGTTCCACAAGATAGTAAAGGCCCTCGTGGCTCCGCCGCTCGTGCTAGTCTTTTTATGTGTCAGCATACAGGGTTCGTTACATGTCCGGATGGTCCGGATACAGGCGCGTGGGACTATTTGTGTACATTCAGAATACATGATCAATCGTGTGTGCTTTGCAATATACACACAAACCAGTGTGTTTTATGTGGTGTGTCCACAGACACAAACACATAGCCTGATCGCCAGGTCCTATTCGAAACTACACGCACATACCGTGATCTGCACAGTGCCCAACTAAAATCCAAACTATGGGCAAATTCACATCTTAGTATAGTGTACTAAGTATGATTGAGGTAGATTAAAAAACAATAACCTGCACAACTTTTTAATGCACATTGTGAGTAAAACAGCCTTTTTTTAACTCAACAATTTATCATGTTCTGTATGTAAATGTACATGTATGTATTGTACTTGTGTATTAGCATTGAACGTGCTTTGCATCAACAAACGTTTTGCCCATACTTTGTCAAATCACAGTTTTACGCGCACGACTGGTGGTCTTTGCGTTTATATGTCTGTGGGTGTGTCCCATCAAAAGTGGCAACAAAGCATCTTCATGATCTTCTATTTTTGTCCATAAAATAACAGCAAAGTGTTCTTCACTTTCTGCTGCACAGTACATTCTTGGGTCTCTTGTATGACAGTTACATATTTCCTTGGCTCAGATATAAAGAAATGACTTCAAGACTGTCTTTGAAAGGAAATTGAAGGAGATTGAACTTGGGGAGTCAGGTTGTTTCAAGAGTGTTACTTTCCTCACCTTCCACCGCTGTGACCCGGGTTCGAATCCCGCCCGGGCCAATATGTAGATTGGGTTTTCAGTCCTACATGATTCCGTGGGTTTTCCCCAGAATATTCTTCTTGGCTTTTCTTCCTACCTCTAAAACTGTAATTTCTTCTCATTGTCTTCTCTCTACAGGTTTTTTCAGGCTTTCGAGCCTACAGTGCCTAGGGCGCTATTTGGGGAATCCTTGGTTTCAGTACCAAAAGTAGTAAATACAAAATAAATCAAACAAATAAATAAAAGTGAGACAGGATTTTATTGCTAGACACGATCTCACCTCCATACCAGTTATTATTAACCTCTACTGATTTCTCACTCACATGTTCTGCAGTCAGTTCCTGAGAAGCCACTGCTGCATCTGCACTGGCCGTTTGTGCAGGATCCTGGGAAGCAGGCATTGCTGTTACTCCTCCATGAACATTGCTCTGACAAATAGTCATTAAGACAAGAGAAATAATTGATATACAGGCTTTAAAAATTATGCACACACCATGTTCTTAATATTGTAACGAAAATAACAGTCATGATTAATTTCCAGTAATCACGCTTTATTCGTCACTCTGATAAAATGCAGGTTCTTTTCTCATACCTTAAAGGGAAAATACAACATTTGCAAACATCAAAAAATAAAACTACCAAATCATTTTGAAATACCTTGCTGGACTGTTAGTGAATGACAGTGTAAAGCATCCTGTAAAATCATGGCACCTGGTATACTGTCATTTTCAAGAAAAGTTGTATTTTTGTATCAATTTCCAACGCTGATCGGCCGATCAGCGTTGGAAAAAAACTGGCTTTTTTCAAATACTGGCCCCAGTTGACCATCGCACTTGTTTGCAATCGATTACACACCTATGAACGGGTACAAGCCAGCTAGACTGGTTCCCTGACCTTACAATTCCCCAATGTATGTAAACTGCTCTGTTTCTTCTTAAATGGAGTCAGGGAACCAGACTACAGGAAAATGATTGTTTTTCTTGGTTTTTATAACATTTTCGAACCCAAAACCTCAAAAAAGTCAGTGTAACTATATTTGCTATATATTTCCAACCCCCCAATTCCATCCATTTCTGAAAATTACAGCAAAAGCAAATGATGTATATTCCCTTTAATTGATAGGACTTGTGTAAGATAAGAAATAAGTTCCCAGTCAACAACTAGTATTTCATTGAGAAGAATTGCCAATACAGTTGGCCACGTATTGATAATAGGGCCTATGATAAACTAATGGTAGAGTAACTGTTAAATGTAATGACTTACCAGTACACAAGTTTAAAAAGCTCTCTAGGTCAAGACCAGGCGCGTACGCAGGGGGGGTGTTTTGGCTGTTAAACACCCCCCTTTGCAATGTAAAAATATGGAGGGAAAAGAGAGTTATGTGACCGAGCGCGGAACAATTACAAATTATGTGCATTTTCTCAACTTTAAGCTTTGAATACAGAAGACACTTTATAAGAGCAAGAGTATATAGGCCTATATGTATTTGAAACAAATGAAACAAAATATCCCCTCATAATTTAAAAAACTTCTGCTAAAAAAACCAGGGGAAAGTAGCCAGGAAACGCCTCAGATTGCACCACAGAGCATCTACGATCCAAAATTTCCCGGGGCCCTTAAGCGGGCCCCGGACCCCACGCCGTAAGTGCTTCGCGCTCCGCGCTCGCATTGGTCCTCCGGCCAAATTAATCCCGGGACATACCGTTATTTAGTTTTACTGTTTTGGATTTCCTCAAAAACAAAAAAACAGTAAACGAACCATTGACCGTTTTCTCGTTTTACAGTTTTGTAAAAAAAACGGTCAAACGGTATTAAGTAACACACAAAAAATACTGTTTGTTGTTTTTAATTGTAGAAAGCGTTAAACGGTTAGTTGCTTTATTTTTAGAGTGTTGTTTTACAAAATCATGACAATGACAAAACGGTCAATAGTCTTGCCGACCATTTTTTTTATTTTAGGTTCGGCAATTAAGCAATGCACCGGAATGTTAATTAATGCGTCCTTGGGATCGAGTCATTGCCTGGGCCCCGCTCCTTACATTTAGTTCTCACGACAAAATTTGCGAATTGGCTATTGAAGAGCCGCGTCGACTTGAACCCCAGTTTCCTTCAAAATGTCTGCAACTTCATCAAATGTTTTATGACCATCCTGTTTCCATTGTGAAAAGTAATGTCCTCCCTTGAAGTTTTCCAGCGCCATTTTGCTTGGAACTCTTTAAGCCCCACCAACTTGTCTGAATCGCATGAGAAAGGGGTCAGGGTCCGCGCCAGGAATCACGTCACGCATTAATTATGCCGAGGTAACACTTCTTCGTGTAAAACATGGTCCCCCTCCACCCCCTTGCCCACCGCCACAAAATGCACCACGGACTGTTAACCACGACACTGGAATAAAAAAAACAGTCTGTATTTGTGTAATCTGTAAAACAAAAATCATTGATCGTTATGCTATAATGAATTTTACTAAACTTATAAAACGGAGAAACCGTATTTATCTTAATACCGCTTGTCGTTTTATAACACTGTAAAACGACAAAACGGTCGATGATTCGTTTACTGTATTTGTTTTTGAGGACATCCAAAACGGTAAAACGAAATAACGGTATGTCCCGGGATTCAAATTCCCTCTATGCTATAATTTCACCCTAGCGGTGCCCCCACCATGTTGTACCTTCAGCAGCGAATGGCTCTACAAGTGGCATAAATCCCTTTCCAAAATAAAAAATTGTGAAAAAATACGGAGATGGAACATGGTTCTCAACTTTGAGTACGTAACAAACTTTATTAACCAAAAAAAAAAATAACAAATTTAAATGGAATTTTCGATGTTTAAAACGTTTTCTAAACGGCGGAAGTGGCCAGGAATCGCCTCAGATTGCACCACAGAGCATCTTAAATCCAAATTTTTCCGGGGCCCTTAAGCGGGCCCCGGACCCCACGCCGCAAGGCCTTCGCAGGTCCTGGACCCTTCATTACAATAATTGTAGGCCCTCCGGCAAATGGCAGTCTGAATCCGCTCCTGTGACCAGAGTGCATATGTATCCTGTATCTGAAGTTTGGCCTTAGGGGTGGGGGCGGTTTACACAAAGATTCCCAACGGATGAGAATCATGAAATCCAGAGGACGAAGCTGAGTGATTTTAGCCAATAACAAGAACAGATCATAGCACTTCCGCAGCCCGTGTCACTTTTTTTCTTGAATTTCTTCTTTTTTTTGGTTTAAATGCTGTTGAGGGAGGGGACTGCCCACATTGACCCCTTTACTCATATGTTCATCATACTCTAAAGACACAGAACATTTTTTTTCCCGATTTACTATGCTTTAGCTCAAAAAGATAACTGATGGTCGTGGGTTTCCGGCCCTTCGAGTTTAACCCGTCCAAATATACCCTCTTTTATTTCTGGCGCCAACACAAACTCCTGACTTTTATTTTAGCGTAAAGTTTAGCCCACTGATGTACCATCTTCATTTCTAGCGTCATAAATGACGACATCCAATTTTGAAACACCCCCCTTGAAAAAATCCTGCGTACGCCACTGGTCAAGACGTTAGGGTTATCGTGATTAATGGGTTATGACCAATCAAGCATTGCAAGAGACATTTATATTGATGCGCTGGCTCCTTGCGCTATGTACGCGCCCAAACGCTACAAAAGACGAGCCCAGTCAGGGCTCGGTGTTCAGATCGTGACTGGTTCTGGCCCGGTGAGGAACTTCCCCTAGAATAAGGAGCGCGTCTTACTCAACATTCGATTGCAATGCACACTAGCGCTCTACCTCATCGTTATACAATTGTACGCATCAGGCACAGGGTGTGCTGACAACCATTATTGTTCTTTGAAGAACGGCTCGATCTCTCCATGAAGTCAGAATTCTTGTCTAGTCTCTAGTCATTTACTAGTACTTGAACCAGTAATTTCACGCCCATTACAATATTCAAAAGCTCATTAATTGTTCGTGCAAATCTCATTCAGTGGACCAGCTTTATTCCCGATCAAGCTTTATTCCCAGTTTCCAACTGGCTATTACATGTAATGCTTGTCTGTTTTGTTTCGAATATTCTATATTCAACTGAATCCAAGTTCAACTGTATAAAAATGCACAGCCCTTAGAGAAGCAAATAATGTTCCCCATACCCCAATCCTCTCTCTACTGCAGCCACCTATAGTTGACATACATACTTCTGCATTGTGTCATGTCATCACTCTTCTTATAGGCTGATCCACGCGCTGAGCCATAGTCACCATCACATCGGTAACATTTCTGGTTTGAAGATGTGCTGCAGAACACTTCAAGGCAATTTGCAATAGCTGTACATCCTATGAACACCAAAAAAAGAATTGTGTTCCTGAATCATCCAGACATGCACCCAAGTCTGATGCAATGGGTGAGATTTTATTCAAGATGGAGTGATTAAACAGGGTAAGGCCAGCGGCGTAGCCAGAGAGGGAGGGGCATATGGAATGCCCCCCCCCCCACACCAAAACATGTTGCCCCCTCCCAGTCCGCCCACCCACTGGCAACTTGTTAGCCTACATTAGTGACCATGGTTACGGGTTTATTCCGGATGCAGTGACTCAACAGGAAAAGGTCATCAGCATAGCCAAGGGGAAGGGGGCCCGTAGGGGTCATGCAACCCCACCCCCTCGCAGTCCGTGAATTTTCTTTTCCCAAACTACATATCCACAAACATGGTTGTTTAGCGCCCTCTACAATACTTTTATGATACGTACGCAGGTATATAATTTTTTTCCAGGGTTTGGAGAGCAGTGCGATAGGTCATGATGTTGCACCGCGAGATTGTGGGTTCGAGTCGCAGTTTTGAGCCTGAATTTTTCCTTTTCTAATCTGAGGCTTTGGAGGATTTTTTTTTTAAAGGGAAATAAAGTTTGAATCTCGTTAAATTCAAATTTATTTCTTTTTTCTAATTTTATATATTTTCTTCTCATGTTTTTTGAGAAGTAAAGTCCAAAATGCCATAGCGTACACCCCCATATGCGGATGTTGTTTGGGGAAGAAAAATTCACCCCCAGTCCGCCCACCCACTGGAAATTTGTTAGCCTATAAGTTTCAATGGTGGTGGGTGTATTCAAGATGGGTTTATTAAAGATGCACTGATTAAACAGGGGGAAGCAAAGCCAAGGGGGAGTGGCCGTAGGGGACGCCCCCTCCCCCCACCCCATTAACATCAAGGCCCCAATTCACCCCCATTCGCTGTGATCGCGCGCGAAAGGTTTTTGTACTTGATTTCAATTTACTGTCCAGTTAAGAGTGCCTTACCTGAATGGCTACGCCGCTGGGCAAGGCAATCTTTAAAAGTAAAATTTAAAAGCCTATTAAAAGCCTATTTGGCCCATCAGGCAGGTGTTTATCTTCGGTTTCAGTGGCATGAATGTCCGAGAATATTTGTACTCCCCCTGGATGGGATGCTAGTCCATCGCAGGTTACTCCCCAGCTAATGCCGGTACCCATTTATACTCCTGGATGGAGAGAAGCAAATGGGGATGAAGTGGCTTACCCAATGACGCAACTAAGGCCGGTAGCTGGACCCGAACCCCTTACCCTCTGATCATGAGTCACGAACCCTAACCGCTAGGCCGCACTTCCCCTCTTTAGGCACTCTTTAAACTTGACAGTAACTTGAAATCGACTTGATTTCAATTTACAATCAAGTACACATTTTTCAGATATTAAAAAAACACACTTTGTTTTCAAATCTTGAATCCATTTATGGCTTATTTGGCTAGAGGAGATTTGTATGCCCTTGAGTTGAGAGACTAAAGCTCAAAACTGGTACTTGTTCTGCCTCAAGGATATCGAATCTTACAGTTACGAGGCTAATTTTCATTGGGTTTGAACAAGGGGGTTCTAATTTAAATGATACTGAAGCTAGATATAAAACCAAACCCTGAGTAGGAGTAAGCTAAGGTTTGGGAAATATTAAGCTATGGTTTTAGTGATCAACACACCACATATTGCGGAGTGCTGTGGCCTTGTGGTTATTAAAGGGCATTGGATTTGTGGTCTGCGGGTACAGCTGCAGGCTGTGGGTTCGAGTCCAGCCTGGGGTCATGGTGCGTGTTCCCTTGAGCAAGCCACTTTGCCACTCATTGCTTCTCTCCACCCAGGAGTAAATGGGTGCCTGTGAGGGCAGAGATGGTTATTGTGATTGAATTAGCTTCCTTGCGCCTAACAGGCTGCACTGAGCTGTATACTCCCCAGGGAGCTGAGATGGTATTTGGAATGTTTCATGGGCCCAATGAGCAGGGGTAATAATGACGTAGCACCTTGAGCACAAGTCCTGGTGGAAACGTGCACCTTATATATATATATATATACCCACTCATTTTATTATTATTAAGGGAATAAATGTGTGCTCCTGAGGTTTTTATCACTCTGTTTAAGACCGCTTAGAGTCTGGGTGCTGATAATTACCCGAGCCGTGTGCTGATAATTACCCGAGCCGGAGGCGAGGGTAATTATCAGCACCCAGACTCTAAGCGGTCTTAAACAGAGTGATAAATACCGACCGAGCACATATTTATTCCCATTCATAAATACCTTTTCGGTAAAAAAAATGTCAAATAATTCGTTCAAAAGATCCCAATTTTGTTCAACAAGTTTACTTCATGCTTTTTGAAACGTCCCTCTAGCAAAATAATGGAGTGTTCAGCTGGCGAGTAAGATGTAAACAACCCTTTTATGGAGATTGACGCGCGCGTAGCATGTTCTGCCGATGTTGTACAGAACGCACCTGGGGCGCTGCGTTTTGAATTTAGAACTATAAAATTCTGACTCGCTGGTAGTGTTGCGCATGCCTACGTGAGGATTGTGAACGTTCAACCAATGAAACGGTAAGAGGCACTGGATTTTTAGGAGTCCACATTTTATTGTGACACTGGAAAAGTGTTTAAGACCAGCTGGCCATGTCTTTATCATCCGTTTAAGACCGGCCACGTGACGGGCTCTCGACCAATAGGAATAGCTACACTGTCTGAGGTATTTATGAATACATATTTAAACTGACTTAACCAAAGTGAGATAGTTGGCTGGCTACTTCAATTCCCTGAATGATCATGTTGAATCCTCCCAGCATGGCTGTCAGAGATTTCCTGTTCATTAGGCCTATCCGTTGAGAAAAAGAGTCTGATGTCAGTAGTCTATGATCAAAATATTCAAGTTATATCAAGAAGTCTTTCTGTCATAACAACTTACGATTACATCGTGGAGAGTAGAAGCCTCGGTTACAGTTGCTGCAGTAGTCAGGACGTGTGCAATCCCCTCCATTGGGACACGAATCAGTATGGCCAAAACAAATGGCTTGGTAAGAAATGAGAAAACAAATCAATGAATGCATGATACTTACAGGCATAATTGATTTGATGAACATTTGTGTGTGAGCTTGGTTGGTTACTTGGAAGGACTTCCACAAGGGAGCATAACTAGGAGGCCAGAAACACAAACCCCCTTCTCTTAGCGATAAGTGTTACTGGATTCTTTTACGTGTGTTAGGCTTACAACACACGGGACCTCCGGCTTAACATCCCATCTGAAGGACGAAGCAATAATGGTTAAGTGCCTTGCTTAAGGGCACAAGTGTCCGGGCCCGGGCTCGAACCCGCCTCACTGTTGCCTAGCTGAAACACCAGAACATGAGTCCAGTGCTCTTAACCACTAGGCCATATGACACTCCAGAGCTGTTTAAAGCTAAAGCATATAATATAACACTAGTCCGATAATTTTGGACTCTCAATACTGTGTAATGAGAGTCCCAAAACTTAAGGTATTGAAAACATGCAATACCAGAAAACAGACTGGCACCTGAAACAACCAGACCAACACCGCTTCAGTACTGCATCAATCAACCATGCCAACAGAATTTAAGAAACATTTGGCATGAACCGAGAACAAGTCTCAATTTACTACACATTTCTCCTCAGTCAGCCACCAGACTAATGTCACTGAATGAAGAAGTTGGTCTTTTCAAACAATTGGACCATGGTTGGACCTGTACCAGTCTAGTCTTTAGCCTCATTTTGAAATCACTTGACTTCCCTCTCATGTGCAAAATATTGAAGAAAAATCTCCTTAATTCAAACATTGAATTTAGTCTGCAAACTTGGTTGGTGAAATACTGAGGACCTTTCCTTTGCCCAGTGGAATTTTTTGGAGAAATTTGCTGGCTAATGTGAGTACAGTTGGCCTAATTTAGTTTTGCACATTTCAGAGCACTCCAGAGCCCTGTCTGTAATAACACCTGAGGCAATTAAATTAGAAAAAAACCCAAAATCTTCTAAAAAACTTGGTCAAAACAGTCAACTTACGGGTTGTGCAGCCACTTGATGTACTTCCAGTCCATCCTGTGCAACACCGATAGCAGGTTATATCCCTGTATGATAGGAATAATCCTGAATATGATTTTGACCATTACATGTACTGGGGAAGTGCGGTCCCTAAAATCTTCAAATCAGCCATCGATAAAGTCCGGGAACTGGCTTCAAGCGACACTACACATACCTCACGAACCTCTGCCAGGAGAATAAAGGAACTGACAAAAGCCAACCATGATCTCCACTGGGAAACACACCTACAAGAGCTACAAGTTCAATCAAAGCTATCGGACATTATCCAGTTGGAGAGTGAATCCAAAGCCTGGCAGCGAGTGCGTTATTCTCTCCCCAGTGGCCAGCTAGCATTTCTACTCAGAGCAGGATGCGATACCCTACCCACCCCCATGAACTTGACAAGATGGCGCATCCAAGTTGACCCAAAATGTCACCTGTGTCATAAACCTAGATGCACGCTTGCTCACATACTGAGCGCATGTGAAAAAGCCCTGAATTTGGGTCACTTCACATGGAGACACGACTGCGTCCTCAAATGTCTTTCAAAATACCTGTACGATCATGTGGACCAGGAATCGAACTTGACAGTCGACCTCCCAGGTATGTGTGTGGAATCCAGTACTATTCCAGTCGCAATATGCACAACCAACCTTCGTCCGGACATCTTTCTACATAGCGGGCACACAAGCGCCGTTGTAGGAGAACTGACGATCCCAAACAACTCCACAGTAAACCTGGGGAATGCTAAATACCAAGGACTGGTGGCGGACTTAATAAAGGGATCTCGAATGTGACTGTCATATTGGGTTCTTTTTTCCTTAAATTTAAAGGTGGGCTCATTGGTTTTTTTTGTCAGCAAATTATACTCTCTGATAGAGGCTCCCTAGGTTGGCTCGTAGTTGAGCATCTTCGGGCCCTTGAATACATGGGCAATTTCTCCTTTTCATAAGCTGATTTTGTGGGTTTAAAAAAAATTTTATTGCTCATCGGGCTACATATCAATGCTTTCAGGAAACCCTTTTCCTCCGATGTTAGGGTTTTCTTTTTTAAGTTTTAAGTTTTTAATTCCAGTCCATGTTAAAAATTTTTGTGGATATGATCTGTGACAGTTTTATCGGTAATTTTTTTTTTTTTTTAATTTTACTTATACATGTAGTTTCTATTGTTGTTTTTTGGAATATAGGGAGTTTGAGTGTGATTAGCCATTTCCACTCCCCTTAAAGTTTAGGCGCTCCATTATAATATTATAGCCTAGTAGCCATCCTTTGCAAATGTAAGTTCTGTGCATAATTCAATTTCTTTATATAAGTTCCCTAGCTTGACTGGAATTTGAGCATCAAATAAGGCCTTTGAATGTGCAATTGTTTTCCCTTTTTTTTCTATCTCCAGACAGTAGGGTTTATGTGTTTATTGCAAGCATTCTGTACATGTTGAATCTCTCCCCCCTTTTTTTTTTTTTTTTAATTTTCTATATACATGTCCCTCCAAATTGCTTTTTTATAGCTTTGTCCCCCTCCAGATGGTGGAATTTTCCCCTTTTTACCTTGCCAGGCCCTTTCAAGGTTCTCCCCCTGTTCCTACGCCTGAGTCCTAGGTCCCCCCCCCTTCCTTTTTTTTACTGCTACATTGGTGTATGTACATTTGTGAATTTGTCCATGTCTGACGTTTTCTGTGTGATAATGAACAAAATGTAGATGTTTTTATTTATAAATAAATGTAATTTCTTAATATTCTTATTGTATCACTGATGTGGATAACAATAAAGGTATTTCAATATATTCAAAGCTACTGCGTTTGACCAGGCACTTTCAGTGCACTGCCCTTTATTAGATCAGATCAGTTGTACAAGGAAGGCCCACTGGTTGCCCTAGCAACAACCACCCACTGAGGGTCTTAGGCCCTACATTGTGGTCAGTGTGGTCAGCATGAGCTACTACACATGTAGTAGTTCATTCCATTCTTAACTATCGTCCTAATAATTAAATTAATAACAGAAGATATTCTCTGAAGCAAAGCTCAGCAATCCTTTCCCATCCTTGCTCAACATATACTTATACCCATCTACCCTTTTCTTGCTGTAAAAATAAACTTGTACAAGAAACGAATATCCGGGTCATACACATACAATTAAAGATATCTGATGGGTATAGGGTAGCCCCATGCACTAACTGGGTCGCTAGAACTCCTTTTTTGACATTTGGGATGTTGGTCTATCGTACAGACAGACCAACATCCCAAATGTCAAAAAAGGAGTTCTAGCGACCCAGTTACTGGGACTAGGTATAGGTATGATCTGTACAAATTAAGTTGTGTTCTCCATTTCCCTTATAGATAGTGCCATTTTCAAGTTTCAACCTGACACATGCATCCTTTTTTAAATTATTTTTTTCTAGCAATAGTTGTTCACTTTTTGAATGAAACATCCAACAACAAAATCACTTCACGTCCATGTCAAGCTATGGAATGTCATCTTTAAGCCCGGTTCAAGTACGGCGCAAAAGCAAAAGCGAATGTGAATTTGTGACATCATGGCATCAACCCCATACTCCTAGAACTATGGGGTCCCCTCATAAGTCCAATAAGGTCCGCCGCCTCATAGGTCCGACAAAATCGCATCCCCCCAACCAAATAAAGGCCCATTAATAGTCCGACATCTCACAGGTCCGGTGCCTCATAAGTGTGATGCCTCATACATGTAGGTCTGACACCTCATACGCTTCGTTTTTCCGACGTCGGACTTATGACGTGTCGGACTTACATGTATGAGGTGTCGGACCTATGAGGCTGAATAAATAAATGTACATTGTTATGCCTCATTATAGTCCGAGTAACTTGGACCCAACTTATCGCCTTTTTTAACATTTGGACATGGTCTGGCGATACTGCCAGACCATGTCCAAATGTTAAAAAAGGCGATAAGTTGGGTCCAAGTTACTCGGACTAGCCTCATTACTAGTCCGACGCCTTATGCGTCGGACCTATGAGGCGTCAGACTTATGATACGGCCCCGAACAATGATGCTCCGCTCTGCGGAGCAGTCGTGGCAAGTATTCGCGCTGCAAATTCATGAAATTAGTAAAAGTTGCTTCGCAGGCCAACACTAAACAGCAGCCCAAAACAGGGTGGATCTGTTTTGTGAAAAAAAGCTACTCCTAGAACTATGTAGCCCCATAAATGTGGCCTATTTACTGGACTGCCTCCGTAAACATAGGCCACACACCCACATGAACAAAAAACGTGTCGACTTTGCCAAATTTTGATTTTCACATTTAGGCTTACTTTGTAGATTTTTTTGCTTTAGAAGCATTCTCACCCTCTATATAGGCTAATCAGAAAGTGCTGCCTTTTTCAGATGTCCATTTTTCGTGAAATTTCCAGATACATTTGCACACGTTTGCGTATCAAAATTTCAACATGAAATTTCACAAAAATTAAACATCTGAAAAAGACAGCACTTTCTGATTAGCCTATATAGAGGGTGAGAATGCTTCTAAAGCAAAAACAATCTACAAAGTAAGCCTAAATGTGAAAATCAAAATTTGGCAAAGTCGACACGTTTTTTGTACATGTGGATGTGTGGCCTATGTTTACGGAGGCAGTCCAGTAAATAGGCCACATTTATGGGGCTAAGAACTATGAGGCTCCACAGTGGAGCCTTATAGTTCTAGGAGTAAAAAAAAAAAGCAACAAAGGTTACAGAGATGTCCAAGGTAAATACAAGTACGCTTTTTATTAAAATAAAATAGAACCATACAAATTTCAATTTATACATTTATTACAGAAACAAGTATAAAAGCATTTGATTCGTTGACGAAAACTGGCAGTAGGCCTAGGCTATTTTGTTTTGGGTTGTTTGTTTTCATTAAATGCGGAAACAGGTCAACTCGTACGCGAGTCAACTCGTACGCGAGTCAACTCGTACGCGAGTCAACTCGTACGCGAGTCAACTCGTACGCGAGTCAACTCGTACGCGAGTCAACTCGTACGCGAGTCAACTCGTACGCGAGTCAACTCGTACGCGAGTCAACTCGTACGCGAGTCAACTCGTACGCGAGTCAACTCGTACGCGAGTCAACTCGTACGCGAGTCAACTCGTACGCGAGTCAACTCGTACGCGAGTCAACTCGTACGCGAGTCAACTCGTACGCGAGTCAACTCGTACGCGAGTCAACTCGTACGCGAGTCAACTCGTACGCGAGTCAACTCGTACGCGAGTCAACTCGTACGCGAGTCAACTCGTACGCGAGTCAACTCGTACGCGAGTCAACTCGTACGCGAGTCAACTCGTACGCGAGCCAACTCGTACGCGAGCCAACTCGTACGCGAGCCAACTCGTACGCGAGCCAACTCGTACGCGAGCCAACTCGTACGCGAGCCAACTCGTACGCGAGCCAACTCGTACGCGAGCCAACTCGTACGCGAGCCAACTCGTACGCGAGCCAACTCGTACGCGAGCCAACTCGTACGCGAGCCAACTCGTACGCGAGCCAACTCGTACGCGAGCCAACTCGTACGCGAGCCAACTCGTACGCGAGCCAACTCGTACGCGAGCCAACTCGTACGCGAGCCAACTCGTACGCGAGCCAACTCGTACGCGAGCCAACTCGTACGCGAGCCAACTCGTACGCGAGCCAACTCGTACGCGAGCCAACTCGTACGCGAGCCAACTCGTACGCGAGCCAACTCGTACGCGAACCAACTCGTACGCGAACCAACTCGTACGCGAACCAACTCGTACGCGAACCAACTTCTGTAATTATACAAGACCTGGTTTTAATTGAGCTACCGTATCCTAACATATAGTTTATAGTCAAACCTTCCAAAGACTATAGCCAAATCTATATGTTACACTATCGTTAAACCACACTTTTTTATATTTTACGTGCATAACTTTGTTCACAACTAAACCTTATGGCGTGATAGCTATTTTACATAAATGAATGTAATTATGTCATGAGTTTTAACATTAAGAAGCCTTATTGCAAACAATACATAATTTCAAGCTTCAATTTATAACTTATCAACGAGCAACACGATTTAACCATTGCATGAATGATACGAAGATCGACA